GATTCCACTCGGCTGTTCTCGCGGTGGCCGAGGGCAATCGGCCTGGCCATCGTTTTCTTCTGTTCACTGCTAATGGTGACGGTGATGGTCATGTGATGGTGATGGTCATGCCATGCCGATGGCGATGCTGATGCGATGGTGATGGCGATGGCGCTGCTGATGGTGATGGTGATGGCGATGGTGAGGGTGATGGTTATCGATGGTGATGCTGATGGTGATGGTGATGGTGATGGTGCTCTGATGGTTATTGATGGCGATGGTGATGGTGATCGTGATCGTGATGGTGATGGTGATGGTTATTGATGGTGATGGTGATGGTGATGGTGATGGTGATGGTGATGGTGATGGTTATTGATGGTGATGGTGATGGTGATGGTGATGGTGATGGTGATGGTGATGGTGATGGTGATGATGGTGGTGATGGTGATGGTGATGATGGTGGTGATGGTGATGGTGATGGTGATGGCAGTGGTGGTGGTGATGGTGATGGTGGTAATGGTGATGGCAGTGGTGATGGTGATGGTGATGGCAGTGGTGATGGTGATGGTGATGGCAGTGGTGATGGTGATGGTGATGGCAGTGGTGATGGTGATGGTGATGGCAGTGGTGATGGTGATGGCGATGTCTACAGTTGTGGTTTTGAGGCATCGTGGAGGGATAGGGAAGAGAAAGAGAGAGAGCGAGAGAGATGATGGATATGGAGAGCGGCCCTTTGATGACTGTTTGGGCGTCTTTGGGGAGGGGGGGGAAAGGGTGTGTGTGTGTGTCTGGAGTGATGGGCTTGGGCATGGGCCTGTCTCTGTGGCTGATGTGCCAGCTGGTGGCGGCTGCACGACCTGTGCTGATGTTCCTAGTTCAAGGCCAAGCAGGGGAAGGGGAAGGGGAGGGGGAGGGTACTCGACTCGCCTCTCCCTAAGAGTGGAGCAGGCGAGTGAGTGGACCATGAGGGGGTATGGCGTGCTGTCCAAGACTGAGTACAAGGAGTTCTTCGCCAACAGTACGCCAAGGTGGGAGGAGGGACGAGGGAGGGAGGGAGGGAAGGAGGGAGGGAGGGGTCATAGACGGTGGTACTCATATGGAAGCATGCGATGGCGACGGCCATGACGGTAACGGGCACGGGCGTTGTGTCGGGCATGGGCTTGGTGGCGGGCACGGGCACGGGTATGGGCTTGGTGGCGGGCACGGGCACGGCATGACCCACAGTCAACTACCAGCAGAGGTCGATGGGCGAGACGCTGGACCACGTACGGGTCCTGCTCATCTCGTACGGCTCGTTCGGCCCCGAGAAGAAGCGCAAGGGGGCTGCGGTCGACTTTTTCTTCCGCGCGGTCTCTCTATTGTCCAGGCGGACCTGCGGTACTCGTCGCGGATCGATGGGCGGCAGCTGGCGCAGGTCTCGCGTGACGATCCAAACCTGGATGCCATCTTAGGTGACGACGAGGCTGGAATAGAGAAGCGCGAGGTGCTGCCGAGCGATGCTGAGCTTGCTGCTGGTGTGCCGAACACCATTGTGCTGCGCAAGGTCGACAACCAGCGCGCGCTCCCGTTCGAGACGCATTCGTTTCACAGAGTCATCATGCGCAAGGGCCTCTGCCAGTGCCATGATCGTGATGTTGGATGCGGTGGTGTTGCTGGGGACTTTGAGACTGCGTTCAGGTTTGTGGCCGGTGTCGCCGAGGTCCTCTCGCGCGCTCCGGGCGCCGCCGGCTACCTGCACGGTGTCTCTAAGCACACCTCTAAATCGCTGTGGTCCAAGGTCGCCCGCCGGGTCTACGAGCACTTTGGGGCGAGCTGTACGTCGGTATGGCCGTCAACTCGTCCAAGCGATTGACTGGCCTCAAGCTCGCCTGGCGCGAGGCCACCATTCTCGATCCCAATGACGCGCCATTGGCTCCGTCGCCGCCGCCCGCGCTCGTAGCCGACGCTGAGACCTCGTCAGCTCCTCCCGGCACTGCCGACAACAATCAACTCGTTCGTCGCAAGTCTAAGGATAAGATCAAGGCCAAGGCCAAGTCCAAGGATAAGATCAAGGCCAAGGCCAAGGCCAGGTCCAAGGCGAGGTCCAAGACCAAGTCGAAGGACAAGGACAATGACAAGGACAGGGTCAAGAGCAAGGACAAGAGCAAGACAAAGTCCAAGTCGAAGCGCAAGGTCATCGAGTACCCTGTTGAGCCGTATCAGTATTGAACTCCTCCCTCCCCTCCCCTCCCCTCCCCCCCCCCCCCCCTCACCTCCCCATGGCCACTGGAGTAGAGATCCGGGCATACAACGACGTGGACGTGCCTGTCCTCATTGCGTCGACAGTACCTCGGCATGCACTGTATCCGCCTCGTCGGCTTGCACTCGGCTGGCAGACCGAGGACGGGACAAGGTGGCTGGAGCCGGCACCCGGGCCTGTGGCCATGGAGGTAGTCACTGAAGAAGCTGGACAAGAGGGAGAAGGAGACAGTCGCGGTGGGGATGAAGGAGGAGAGGCTGGTCGGCCCTCGGCCGAGTCGGCGCTCTACCTCCCGCCCGAGGAGTATGTCACCTCGCTGCAGCCCGAGGAGCCGCAGCCGGCGCCGGTCCTACCCACCCGGGCGCGCACCTTGCTCCCGTCGGTCGCTGTGGCTGATGACGGGTCTGCACCTGGTGGAGCAGGTGCTCGAGCGGTGGAAGGCTCGCAGACGACAGAAGAGGCAGCAGCAGCAGCGGCAGCCGAGGGAGCGGCTCCGCTGGTTCTCCCTCAGCGCAGCCTCGGCGGGAGCGTTGTCCGATCGCTCGGCGACGATGTGCCCGGAGTGGCGATGGATGTCGGCTTGGCTGACAACGGGTTGACCGAGCTCCCGCTCCCGCCGCCGAATGCGTGCTACTTTGAGTCGCACTTTCCGTCCTTCCGCTCCAAGCCCAAGACCAAGCCCGGGCGGATGCCGAACAAGTCGACCGAGTGGCTTGCGCCGGTCAAGGTCTCGTTCCTCACCGCCACACGGGCCAAGGCCATGGCCGGCCTCATCGAGAAGACCCGAGCGCACCTCCCACTGCTGGACAACGATCCCGGGGCGGTCGCCCGCTCGCTCATGGCGGCGTACACCCCCGACTACCCGTATTGGCGCATGCTGCTCGCTGAGAACAACTTGTGTCTCTACGGCCTCGGCTCGCGATCCGAGCTCGCGCTGCGCTTTGCGTCGTGGCTGGCGGCCGAAGAGGCTGCTGCGGGCGAGACGCCTGTCCCCACTGTCGTCATCAACGGCGCCTCGTCGCAGACCTCGGCGTCGGGGGTGCTTGGGTGCATCCTCGAGGAGGTCTTTGGCGTGGTGACAAGGGTCCGAGTCGCCAAGGGTGTCGACATTGTCCGCAAGTGCCTCCGCCGTGGGCCGTCTAAGCTCCGTCTCGTGGTCCTTGGTATCGACGCCAAGTCGTTGCAGGGCCAGGCGGCGCAGGGCCTCATCTGCGGCCTCGCCGAGCTGCGCGGCGTCTCGCTCATCGCCACCCTCGATCACATGTCCGGACCGGTTCTCTGGGGCTCGGAGCGGGCCGACGTCCTCGCTTGGGCCTACATCCACGCCCCGACGTACGCGCCGTCGATCGTGCCGTCGGCCGAAATCCAGACCAAGGCGCTTGCCGGCGGCGTCGTCACCATCGAGGGCGTGCGGCGCATCCTGGCCTCGGTCACGCCCAACTCGCGCGCTGTTTTTGACCTTGTCCTCGAGTCGGTGGCCGGCGGCGGGCCGCGGACCCGCAAGGGCATCTCGCTCGCAAATCTTCTTGCCGAGGCCCAGTCTTCGTTCCTCACCTCGGACGAGCGCTCACTTCGGGCCCAGCTCCGCGAGTTTGTTGAGCATGGCATGATCGCCATTCGTTCGCAGTCGTCGGGCGACGAGGTCGTCGTCCTCCTCGACCACGAGGTCGTTGCTCAGCTCCTCGGCGCCGACGACGACGACGACTTTTGATCTCGTTTCGTTGTCCATAGTAGCCTGCAGTCCGAGTACACCATCCGTGTGAAGTGGGAGCTGGGCGGGCTAGAGTTGAGGAACCTACCTGCCGCAGCGTCGCGCGAGACGAAGCGCGTCGCGGCGAGCAGCCGATGGCGACTAGAGCATGCTGTCACATCCGGATCATGTGTGGCGTAAGCAAGTAGTCACAGCCTGTGCGCCGAGGGTAGTGCCACAGGCGCGTGCGGCACGGGCGCGCGGGCGCAACGTCACGGCATCGTCATAGCTCTCTGCCGGCGAGTGCGCGCCTTTTGACGGGGTGGACGTTTCGGGCGAATCGTTGGCCGGCTGGAAGACACGACCGACCTCTCTTTCCGGCACGCACGCCATGGCCGCCACCCGCCTCATCCACGCACTGCAGACAGGCCCACGCATTCCGCTGCAGGCCTTCCGCAAGCTGGAGATTGTCCATGGCAAGGTTGGACCCGAGCATACTGGCGCACGGTATGTGAGCTAGTCAGCCACCAGAGCGAGCTTTTGCCAGACCGACCTTGGCGTTGGCGTGTGCCTCGCCGACGCGATCCGCCGCCATCCGCCGGTGGTGGGAGGGGGAGAGAGGGAGGGGGAGGGAGGGGGGATGGGGCGCAGTTCCACTTACGCAACAAGGACGGATGGATTGGGCATGTATGTGCGGACGGTCTTGGACTGGTGGTGGCCGGTGTGTGTGTGGGGGGGGGAGTAGCAAGTTTGCCCAGAACCTCGTTCCCGTCGTCCGCTTTCACAACCCGCAGCTGTCGGTCGCCCGGACTCGCGAAGCCGATCCGTCGGCCACCTCACGGCTAGTGCTGCACCCGATCGACACTGACAAGAGCCCGATTGAGCTTGATGTCCGCGGTCTCTCTGTCGACGACATCGTGGCCAAGCTCCAGGTCGAGGCTGCGGCCTAAGAGCTGGAACGCTTCGCTCTCAGGTGGGCAGGTCAATCCGGCCTACTCGGGCGGCATCTTCAGCAACAGCGGCTGCTGGCAACGTCAGCGGCAGGGCTCAGCACCCCGGACTCAGCACCCCGGGCTCAGCTCACAGTTCACATGTAATACACACTCTCGCCTTCGAGCGCCATCTCACTCTCTAGCTGCTCGAGGCGGCGCAGGCGCTGCTGGTTGCGGCGGTAGATCTCGTCGATGTCAACGGTCTCATGGCTGCCGACAGCAAAGGCCACGGTCTGGGTCCGTGTCGACGATCCGGCGGGCGTGACGGGCGTGTCAGGCGACGAGACGCCGCGCGCATATCGCAGCGGAACGACAGTGGTGGCCGGTGGCACTGTTTGGTTACGAACCAACGGAGTTGCCGACCCGCCCTCGAGCGGGACCCAGGTCGACTCAGAGATGAGCGACTCGGTGACCGGCGGGTCGACGGGATAGGTGCCGCTGACGGCGCGGTGACTTCCAGCTTCGCGGGTTTTGTTCCGGAGTCGGAGCAGCTCTTCTTTCTGGCAGCGGAGGATGATCCGTTGCTTGACAGCGAGGTCCGACTCGGTGTACTGGTCGACCTCGTCCTCCCACTCGGCACGAGAGCCCATGTCGCGGCGGATGTTGGCAAACTCGGCAAGAATGCGGCCACGCTCGGCGTTGACGCCGCCGACGCCGTCCTTGTTTGCGGTCTTGTTGGTTGACTCTGAGACGGCGCGGGCGGCGTCAAAGCGGAGGCGGGCAAGCTCTTCCTGAGCGTCTTCGTAGCGGTCGGAGACGGTCTCGAGCTTCTGCTCGAGGCGGGCGAGGATGGCCTCTTGATGGCGCATCCGCTCCTGAGTCACCGCGTTCTCGCGCAGAAGCCGCTCGATGTTGGGGTCGGGCATCATGGGCATCGAGACCGGGGCAGGCGGTGACGGCATGGCATAGTGGACCTCACGCCGATACGAGTGCGACGCGTGGCGGCGGTGGAGATGCGCCGGGTCGTGGTGGACCGGCGGGTGGCGGTCAATGTACTCGTCGTTGTCATCGTAGTTGTCCGGGACCGACGAGCCTTGCGGCGAGAAGCGGCGATGCTCGGCGGCGCGCTCGGCAGCCTCAGCCTCGGCCTGTGCGCGAGCGACCTCGGCGTCCATCCGACGGCGGGCCTGCATGCGTTCGTGGCTATCGTCGTCGCGCAGCGGGGCGGTGGCCTCGCGCTCAGCGCGCTCGGCCCTCTCCCGCTCTTCGGCGTCATGGCGGCGAGCTTCTTCAGCAGCCTCGCGCTTGCGCTCGCGCTCGCGCTCGCGCTCGCGCTCGTCCTCGGCGTCGCGACGGCGGGCTTCCTCGGCGCGCTCACGTTCGTCGGCGTCGCGACGGGCTTCTTCAGCGGCGCGAGCTTCATCGCGGGCCTTTTCCTCCTCGCGGCGGCGGGCGGCGGCTTCGGCTTGAGCCTGGGCTTCTTCGCGGAGCTGGGCCTGGCGGCGCGCCTCGGCCTCGTCAGCTTCCTGCTGGCGGCGACGCTCCTCTTCGATTTTGCGCATCTGCGCCTCCTCCTCGTGCTTGAGACGCTCTTTCTCGGCCGCCTCGCGAGCCTTTTTCTCCTCGATCTGCATAAGAAGGGCACGCTGGTGCTCCTCGTGCGCGCGGCGACGCTTGGCGTCGGCGTCGTCAACACCGGCAAAGAACGGCAGGTCCGGCGCCGGCGCGACGACAGCTTGCGGCTTCTCCGCCTGGGCGCGGAGCATGCGGTCCTCCATTTCATCGGCGCGGCGCTCGGCTGCGAGGCGGGCACGGCGCTCAGCAGCTTGCTGCTCCAGCTCAGCGAGGTGGCGACGCTCGGCCTCACGGTGGTTGCTTCGATCGTGGTCATCGAGCTGGCCCTGCCCGTGCCACGAGTTGGCGGCACGGATGCCGGCAAGCCGCTCGGCTTCCCGTTCGCGGCGCTCGCGCTCTGCACGCTCGCGGATCTGTGCCTCCAGCTCTGCACGATACGCGCGCTTCTTTGCGAGTTCGGCGTCAGACTTGGCTGACTCGAGGTAGACCGGCGTCGGCGCACGTGCCATACCTTCGTTCTGGTCCAGCTCGCTCTGCATCTGCCTAGCAAACTCCATCTGCCGGCGCAGCATGTCATTGCGGGCGGGGTCTACGCCGCCGGGCGGGCCGTATCCCTTGTCGTAGCCTGGTCCCTGGTCGTAGCCCGGTCCGGGCCTATACCCGGACCCTTGATCGTAGCCTGGGCCGGGCGCATACCCGGGCCCTTGATCGTAGCCTGGGCCGGGCGCATACCCGGGCCCTTGATCGTAGCCTGGCCGGGCGCATACCCGGGCCCCTGATCGTAGCCTGGGCCTGGGCCTGGGCCCTGACCGGGGCCATAGTTGTCTGGCTCAGGCGGCGGCTCGTTGAGGCGCGGCGGGTAAACGAGCTGGCGGGACGGCTGTGGCTGCGGCTGGGCGGGCGGGCCTCCGTTGCCGTTACCGAGCAGGGCGTTTCGTCGCGAGAGAAGGGCGTCTCTCCGGGCAATCTGGGCTTGGTTGAGGCCGGTAGTGACAGCTTGGGCGTCGAGCTCTGCCAGCTGCGTGTCGAGGACGGTGAGGGCGGCGCCGCCCCCGCGTCCGGCTGGCGCCTGAGACGGACCATGGCGGGGCGACCGCGGGCCATAGGCGGCCTCTGACGAGGTGGTGTACATACTCAAACTCTCCTCGAGTCCGTGGTCAACACGCGCTCTCGGGCACTTTGCTCTCAAGTCTCGGAATGGGTATGGGGGGGGGGGGGGGAGTGGGGGCGGTGGTAGGCTGTGGAACCTCGTCTGTCCTCGCTGCTCTCCAAAGTGGGCGCGAACGAGAAGTGCCTTGGAACGCGCCCCGTGGAGCCCCAGCCGCCAGCCGGCAGACGGTGGAGGCCAGCCGCCAGCCGGCAGACGGTGGAGGCCAGCCGCCAGCCGGCAGACGGTGGAGGCCACCCGGCCTCAAGGCAACCGGGATGGTGAACACATGTCGACAGATGCTGGGCTACAGAGTGCATGCAATCATGATGACATCTGGGTCGATGATGCCATGCTGATAGGATGATGATGGTCTTGGCTGAGCTTGCCTGGCTAGAGCCACCACAGCCGCCTTGTCGACAAGCAGCTAGGCTGCAGGGATCAGCATCATTGGCACATCGGCGAGCCATCCCCTCTTTTCTCCAATACGCTTTGATGAGCCATCATCAGCACGCTGGCCATCGGCTGAGCGGATAGTCGCCTCGGGCGCTATGCGAGCTTGCTCAGCGACTGTGCGCGGAGACCATCTTCGGCTTGGAGCCCGTGGTGGGGCCACACCGCGCTCAAGAACCATGGCGAGCAACGAGATGGAGCTGGGAGCGGGACTGGAGCCAGTGCTCACACGGGATACTGGGTACTGTGCATGTGTGGTAGATTCTTGTCCTGTGGGCGTGCCTGGCGCGCCTGCGGGCGCTGCGGTGGTCGGCACCTATCAGCTGGTGGATCCTGTGACTCAGCTCAAGAGCGGCGATGTGCAAATGCTGGTGGCGGGAGAGGACGCGACGGGCGATACGGTGGCCATTACCGCAGGCACCGCTCTTAGCTGCTCCGGAGGGACTTTTGATGTGGCGTGGAATCCGGGTGCCGATGGTATGCTCGCTGTCGCCGACTCGACCGGCCGCGTCGTCCTCGCCCAGGCCGTGTTTGCCGCTGATGGCACGGCTACCATGAGCGAGGTGAGTTACGGCGTTGTGGACGTCGGCGAAGATGCGGATGACGGCGCAAAGCCACCATCGGCGTTGGCGGTGGCGTGGGACAACGACGGCGTAGAGCCTGGACAGGCCGAGAACCTCGCGGTAAGCTACTCGGACGGACGAATGGCGGTGTGGAGCGTGGGCGAGGCGGCGCTCGAGTGCGGCCAGCCGTGGCAGGCGCACTCGCTCGAGGCATGGCGGGTGGCGTTTAACCCGTTCAACAGGACGGTGGTGTATTCAGGTGGCGACGATGCGCTGTTCAAGGCGTGGGATACGCGGATGGGCGGTTACGCGGTGGGCGCTACCAAGGTCCATGGTGCCGGCGTCACCTCCATCCGGCCATCGCTCACCTCGGAGTACATGTTAGCGACTGGAAGCTACGACGAGAACCTGCGGATGTTTGACACCCGCAAGCTCAAGGTACCTGTGAGCGAGATCGCGCTTGGCGGCGGGGTGTGGATGCTCCGATGGCACCCCACCAATCCGTCACTGATGGCTGCAGCATGTATGTACGGCGGCTTTGCGGTAATCCACTCTGGCGATGAGTTTACCACACTGACGGCGGCGACGCTTTCCACATCACCGGCACCCGGCGATGATGCCGACCCGCTGGCGTACGGCATCGACTGGGTGGGTGACGGTCGGCTGATGGCGTGCTCGTTCTACGATGCACGGGCGTACGTCTATGACGGCCCGTGGGCATCGCTGTGAGTCCCGTGAGAGGCGTTGTCGTCGCGAATTGTTGTCGAGAGCATGTCGATGAGCCTGCAGCGCTCGATGATGAGGTCGAGATCAAAGCATGTTGCCGACGGCAGATCGGTCGACTTGATGGCAGCATACAGATCCGGGCGTGCCTCCGGGAGGGCAGCAAAGCCAGCAATAGTGTACGTGGGAGTGGTGTAGTAGCCACGACTCGAATCATTGCTCTCAACAAACGCCGCAGGCGCAGGGCTTGCTGCCGTCTCCACATCGCCGTCCAGCGCGCGGACCGCCGCCAGGGCCGCCACCGTCACGCCCTTGACAAACAACACGCTTGCCATAGAGCTCTCAGCCTCCACCTCGGCCTCACCCTTGAGTAACGGCTCGTGTCGCCAATCTTGGTTGCTTTCTTCCTCCGCCATGCCGGTGCTGCCCGGGAGGAAGCCCGTGGCGACAAGTGCTTCTCTCCCCTCGCCACAACCTCTAGTGCTGTTCCTTCCATTGCCTCTCCGTTCTGCGCCAGCCACGTGCTGCGAGACTCCGCTCATCATCGGATAGACAGAGGTATATGTGTGTGTGTGTGTGAGAGGCGAGGAGAGTTGCGTTTACATAATGATGAATGCGAGGCCGCGGCGGGGTGGGCGGGGTGGAGGGGCGGGGGTGCGGGCCACGTCATGGCCAGGTTCCATCTCATCGGCGCGATCAAGGTCGGATGGAGAGGGTGCGAACGATCAAGGCATAGTGATAGCGGGCACAGCAGAGTGTGGATGCCAATGTAGATCCTTGGCCTAGGGTGCACAGGCTAAGTGGGGGCGGCAAAGGTGGCGCGGTTGTCAGTGCGCCACCGAGCGCCACCGAGCGGCGTGCAGTGGCAAGATAGCTCAACAGAGAGGGGGGGGGGGGGAGAGAACGGCCGGCTCATGTTGCAGCATCCGGAAGAGGATACGCAAGCTGCAACGGATAAATGGAGGTATCTGTAGCGGCAGACGAGACGGCGATCAAACGTGCGGTGATGACGATCAAACGCGCGAAGATGATCAAACGCGCGGCGACGATGGACTCCAGTAGAGCAGAGGCGCGTCTCTCACAACGGCTTTTTCAGAAAGGAGAAGCGCGGCTTGAGGTGTTTGCCAGTAAAGGCGACGGGTTTGTCTGCGATGCGAACGACGAGCTCCCGACCACGGAGCTCATGCGGGAGGGCGCAAGCAGCCTCGGCCTCTTCCACCGAGGTAAAGCAAACAAAGCCATATCCAGCACCCAGCGCCCGTGGCTCATGCTGCGACCTTTTGTCCTTCTGTACAGCCACATCCAAAGCCCACCGTGAGTGTAAGTGGCAGAGGAGAGGGGAACGGGGAGGGGAGAGGGGAGGGAAGGGGAGAGGGCACCTACCACGGCGGCGTGGGCCTCGAGCACCGTGCCGAAGCGCTGGAAGTGGCGCATGAGTTCACGCGAGGTTGTCTTCCATGGCAGGCCAAAGACAAAGATCTTGGACATGGAGAGGTTTGCCTGTGTGCGTGTGTGTGTGTGTGGTGGGGGGGGGGGGGGGGGTGCGGTGAGAGTGGAGTGCGTGGGCAAAAGACGCGGGCCGTGGACGGCCACTGGACGACCGTGGCGGTCACTCGATTGGCCTTGGCGTGACCAATGGTCGGACGTGGCCGCCATGATCGCATACAACACGTAGTCAGGGGGAGTGAGTGTGATACTTATGACCATCTGTATCACTGCGATGATGCGCTGGTGCGAGATCCTAGCATGTCCACCAGCTCGCGCCCATCCAAGGGCATAGATGCCGATGTGGACCACGCGGGCGGGCGGGCGGGCGAGTTGAGCAAATGATGAAGACTCCATACTCGCCGTCTACATCCGGCTTAACCACGCCAGCCTTCAGATTGCGCTCGAGAGGGATGAGCATCCGCATCGGCTGCGCTCCTCCCCGCCCAAGCCCAAGGCTGGCGTCTCCTCAACTACCAACGCGATGGACGATGGCAACATCTCATCAGCCGCCATAAGGCCACGCTCCCCATCATCCCCTTGCGTGCCCTTTGTGCATGCAGGACTTCCCCCATCTCTACCCATCGACATCGAATGCAGTGGCTCGTCGTCACAGGGTGGCAGGCGATCCGTTGGGCGGCGGTTGAAAACGCAACGGCAGCGGGTGGCGGGCGGCGGGCGGGTTGCGGGTCAGCGCCAACAATGACGTTTTCGCTAAAGCAAATTCGTCTCTAACTTTTCGGCCTCAAATTCAAACTTTGGCAGGCCCGGCCACAGACTCTATCTCCGTCTACCATCCCCCCCGCAAGCTCTTCCGTATAACAACACGCTACAACCATGGATCGCTCCACCAACTTCCGCCCCCTGACTGGGCTTGCTGTTCCGGACCCGGAAGAGTGCGATATGCTGCTTGGCTCGCCACCGTCCGAGCGCGCTTTTGACTTGCCGATCGCGGCGCGCCCCGGCCCACCTCCAACGGCTATGGCCGTCACCTCGCCAGAGCCGACGCGTTCCTCGGGCTCGAATGCCGCCTCGCCGTCGCTGCCGCGGACAAACAACACGACTCGCTCGGCCTTTTCGCCGCTTTCGACCTCGCCTGCCATGCCTGGCGTTGTCCCCACTTCGCCGGCCCGCCTCTCGTCGCCGACCACCATCCGCCGCTCGCTCTCGTTTGACAACGACGAGAACCAGGTGCTGCCGTCGCCGATGGCGCCGACAGCTATGGCCATCTCTCCCAAAGTCCCGCCGCCGACGTCTTCCTCGATCTTTGAGCCGGAGCGTGCCTCGTCGCCTGTTGCCGCCATGATTGCTGCTCGCACGCACCGGCCGCACTCGCGCCCGCAGGCCCACTCGATGTCGAGCTCTTCGCTCAAGCTGCGCAAGGCCGTGTCAATGGCGGCCATTGCCTGCGAGCCGGCGCGCCCGCGCTCGCTCTCAGTCCGCGCTCCGCCGGCCACCGCCGCGCTCAACAACGTCCGCTCGTCTGGCAATCTTCCGCCGCGGCCTAAATCTCGGTCAGGCTCGCTCAAGCGGACGCGCTCGGTGCACTCGCTCAAGAAGAAGCGGTCTAACATTCTCTCGGCCTCGGCCTCGGCGTTGCCGATCCCACAACCAACTGCTGCTGCAGCCGCTGCTGCTACTGTTGCCTCTCCAGAGTCGCATGAGAACAAGGCCAAGCTTCCTGTTCTCGAGACCGGCCCGGCCGAGTTCAAGTACATCTCGCCCAAGATCCTCGTCGATGTTATGGAGGGCAAGCACGACGATGTTGTCTCCAAGCTGTACATCATCGATTGCCGGTTCCCTTACGAGTATGAGGGCGGCCACATCGAGGGCGCGCTCAACCTCCATACCACCGCTCTGCTCGAGGAATTCTTCCTCACCACTATCATGACGGACCCGGTGCCCACCATCGTCTTTCACTGCGAGTTCTCGTCCAAGCGCGGGCCGACCCAGTGCCGCCACCTCCGCTCCATGGATCGCATGATCCACGCCGAGCTGGAGGAGTGGACCTCGCTCTACTACCCGGAGATGTATATTCTTCAGGGCGGATACAAGGGCTTCTACACGCTGTACAAGTCGCGCTGCAACCCGCAGGCCTATGTCTCCATGTTTGATGCAGACAAGGAGACCGAGATGGAGCGCTGCTCGCTCATGAACAACTTGCGCAAGAGCTACAAGCGCTCGCGCTCGTTCTCAGACGTCTCCAAGTACTGCAGCCTTGCCCGCTCGCGCTCCGAGTCCACCATCTCGTCCGAGGCCTCCGAGGACCTGGCTTCGCCTGCGCCGCTTGCCGATGTTACCAACCAGCTCGTCACGGCCAACGACGCCATCTCGCCTGCCCTTCCCTCCTTCTCGCACGCCTCTCCAACTGCGCCCCTTGCTCGGTGCTTTGCTACCACCGGCGATGACAATGACGATGACGACGACGACTCAGACGACGACGACGTCCGCTCCTCGGTCAAGTCGCTGGGCTTTGGCTCGCCTGTCGCCGTCTCGTCGACCTCCTCGCCCAACTCGTCGTTTTCACCGTCTCGGCTATTGACTCGGGCTCCGAGTCCGACTCGGACGACGACTCGGACTTTGACCCATGGGGCATGTCCGCCTCGCCCATGTCGCGCCCGCGCCGCCGTCGTCGTACGCTCTGCGATCGGAAGCCGACCATCTCCCAGCGTTCGCTCTCCGTTTCCAACCTGTCCCGTCCGCACACTTCGCTGCTTTGACAATCAACGCCGGGTGCGGCCCTGTAAACTCCTTGTACCCTACATCCAGTCCTGATTCAGCCCTGATCTAGCCCCACGCCGTTGTCACCATCCGCCGCAAAGCGGAATGCCGAGCCACACACGCCGTACCGCGAGCCACCAGTCGCCCGTCGGTCCAGCCCGCCAACCGCCAACCGACCAACCTCCCCCCCCCCCTCCCCCCTACCCCACCTCACCTCACCGCCACCCCCACCTCCTCGCACCTCACTCCACCATGGCTGACGACGGCGGAGCGGAGAGCCAGCCGCTCATGTCCATTGAGGACATCAACAAGGCACTCGAGTCTGAGGACCAGACCGAGCGTATCCGGGCAAGGACAGCACGCATCGAGCAGCGCATTCTTCGCCGCAAGCAGAAGACACAGGGCAAGGGTAAGCATGCTACCACCATCAACCACCACCACCACCACCACCACCACCACCCCCATCACCATCACCATCACCAACCCTCTCACTCCCTCCCTCCCTCTCCTCTTCCTCTCCGCACACCCACCCACCCACCCACTCACTCCCTCCCCCCCCCTCCCTCCTCCCCCCCCCCCGCGCAGCCAACGTCCAGTTCACCACGGCACAGGCGCAGGAGCGCGAGTGGGACACCCAAGCCAAGGCGCAGCTGCGAGCATCGCGCAAAGCACTGGATGCGCTCATTACTGCCTCGCAGCGAACGGTGACCGACATCAGAGTCGAGGGCGATTACCATGAGGCATCCGTGAGGGTCGAGCAAGGCGGCAAGAAGGAGGACCGCCTGTTCCAGCTCAACGAGCTACGGCAAGCGTCGTCAGAGGCAAATGCGGCTATTTCGCTCAATTGGGCCTCGCTTCGGGAGCATGACGTGCCACAGAGCTTGCTCGCTGCGCTGATGGAGCAAAAGGCGCGGTGCGACGACGTCATCGCCGCCAAGGACAACGTCGTGGCGGGCCTCACCGCTGAGCTCGAGGCGAAGGACGAAGAGTACGTAGCCGAGCTGAAGCGGCAAGCCGAGAAGATTGACGAGCTCCTCAACCGCATGGCCGAGTCATTCAAGGAGCTACAGGCCGCGTACGACGCTCAGCTGGCCCAGCTGGAGGAGACGTTTGAGACCGAGCTCGCCGAGCTGCACGCCTCCAACTCGGCCGAGGTCAAGGTGCTCATGGAGAAGCGGGCCAAGATGGAGGAGAAGTTCATGCACGACCGACTTGCCCTGCTCAAGGCCAACCAGGACGAGGTGGAAGAGCTGCAGCGCCAGCAGGGTGAGGGCATCAACATTGTCACCATCCGTCTGCAGACCTCGGTACAGGTCCTTCGCCAGCAGCTGGAGGAGATGCGGGCGACATACGCACTCAACTCGCAGAAGCTCGAGTACAACATCAAGATTCTGGACCGCCGCGAGTTTGAGAACAACCTCACCATCTCGCAGCAGAAGCGCAAGATCAACTCGCTCGGCGACCAGGTGGCAGCGCTGCGGGCAAAGTACGAGAAGCAAGACAAGGAGTACCGGTACCAGAACCAGAAGCTGACCAACGACTACAAGCGCATCACCGACCAGTACAAGGAGCTGCAGCGCAAGTTCAAGCACTTTCAGCTTGCTGATGCCAAGAAGTTCAAGGAGGTATGGGACATGAACGAGGAGGTCGTGGCCGAGTACATCGGCAAGACGCTCCAGGCCGATGCCATCATTTTTGAGCAGCAGCTCGGCCTCAAGTGGGAGCCGCCAGCCCAGGACCTGTTTACCATCCGCGAGCAGGCACTCCCTATCGACGCCGAGGGCCACCCAGTCATCCCGGTGGCCGAGCGTGAGGCCGCCGGCGAGGCTGGCCCGCTAGGTGGGCGGACCGGCTCAGGCTCGATGGCTGGCGGCGGCTCAGGCGCCGCCCCAGGCTCGTCTGGACGGGTCTCGGTCCTCGCCCACGACGGCTCTTCGGGCATTGCTCGTGCCATTCTTGACATGCTCTGCGACGAAGCAGGGTTTCTCGTGGAGGAAAAGGTGCAGGCCATGCTCGACCCGCTTCCGCGCGACGAGCAGAACCTACTCATGATCAACTCTATTTTCAAGGCGCTCAAGGTTGAGTCACGGGCGGAGATCGACAAGCTGCTGTCATACTTTGTGACCTCCCCCGAGGCCTTTGCCGTCGGCGGGCTTTCGCCGTCGGCGCAGGGTCTCGTTGCCTCGTCGGCCACCATTCACCCCAACGACATCATTCCGGCGCTGCGGCGGTTTGTTCAGGACCACAACCGCGATCTTGACCTCTCGCGCCAGTCGACCAAGCGCTCGACCTCGCTCATGTTCATGCGCGAGCAGAAGGCTGTTGCTCGCCGGCTGGAGCGCGAGTACTGGGAGAAGCTCTCGGGCATCATCTCGGACAAGACGTACCGCGTGTGGCAGGCCCTGTACAAGGGCCTCACCGCGTACCACGAAGTCCTTGAGCAGCGCGCCGAGCTCCTTGACGAGACCGACGCCATCCGCCAGCAGAACTACGAGCTCAAGAAGCTGCTCAACATGTATGTCAACCAGGGCGTCAACGACGAGCTCTACGTTCCGCCCTACGCTACCCGTGGCTTTCTGGATCCTGATGCCGGTCCTGGGTCGCAAGCTGCTGCGTAAAACACGTCTGCACCTCTGCTCAATTTATCGACTCCGTCAGCCGAGCCGGTCGACGACGTAGGCCGGCACAAACTGCTCCACGTCCTTGCGCTTGGCACCGCCGTAGGTGCAGAACTGGTGCAGGAACAGGAGCGCGGAACGGACCTCGGGTGAGTAAACGCGGGCGCCCTTGCCGCGGCGGCCGAGCAGGGCTTCAGCCATCGAGGCACGGATGTACTGGCCCATGTACTTGAGGAACGTGGTCGTGACCGAGGCGTGAAACTGCTTGAGCAGGGTGACGACGCCGACCACAAACGGCGCGCCGTCGAGGGCAACCTTCTTGGACGAGTTGACAAAAGTGTCGAGACGCGGATCGTAGGTCAGCTGCGGAAGGACCGAGAGAACAAAGAGGAAGACCAGAAGCGCCATCGAGCCGAGCGGCGGCGAGGTGACGTAGATGACCGCGAGCGGGTCCGACTTGCCTGCCGAGTCGAGGTACTCGGCGAGGGTAGCCAGGAGCGGGTTGGAGACCTTGGGGTACGGGTGGACCTCGGGGTCGCGGTAGTGCGCCTCAATGTCCTTGAGCAGCGACATGTTGAGTGCGTCGAGCGTCGACGAGAGCGCCGGCGAGTCCACCCGCGCCGTGTACGCCAGCTCAATGCCCAGCAGCCGGCGGAGGAGCTGGCGCTGGCCGACGCCGATCACCGTCTCGAGGAAGAGCGGCCACCAGGCCTTGAGCTTTTGCACCAGTCCGCCGTAAAACTTGGTCAGCGTTTTGGCGTCCGTGGCTGGGTACGAGGTGAGCGGGAGGAGCACGTCCTCGACCGAGGCCAGGTACCGGCCCACGTCCGACGAGAGCGAGCGGGCGTACGACCGCACAAACCGCTGCAGCGCGGCGACATTCATAAAACCGAGCAGCTTGTCGACACCGCGGAGGCCAAAGACCGAGAGCGAGGTGAGCATGTGCGCCGCAGTCACCAGGTTCACGCCCTCCTCGCCAGACTTGAGCACAAACCAGGCCGCGGCCTTTTCCACATACACGTTGGTGGTCGGCGACGTGAGTGCGAGCAGAGTTCGCGTCAGCCGGCCGATGCCGTTGATCGATGCCGCATCCCGCGCCGGAAACGAGACAATCGGCACGGCCTCGTTGTAGTACTTGGAGTCCCACCAGAAGAGCTTCTTCTTGAGAAAGGTGTTGCACTCCTGCTCCACGCAAAAGTTAACAATGCGCGAGAACTCCTCCTGCCACAGCTTGAGCCCGTAGATGCCGACGTAGTCTTGCACGTACTCGAATGAGAGCCGGAAGCCCGCAAGCCGCGCCTGCAGCGCCTGCAGCGCCGGCAGCAGCTCGGGCTTCTTCGACGAGAACACCAAGTGCGTGTCGAGCGCCTTGCAGAGTGCTGCCACCAGCTCCTTGCGGATGCCCTCCTCCAGCAGCGCCTTGGGGTTGACCTCGATGACACCGACAAGCGTCTTCTTCATGGCAAGCACGCCTTCGGTAAAGACCGAGATCGAGTGCGTCAGCCGTGCGAGCTCGTAGCGCACGTCAAGCTGCGCAAACTCCTTGAGCATGGCCTTCTCCACGCGCGCCGGGAGCGGCGCAAGCGCAGACGTCTGCAGCACAATGATCTTGTTGAGCTGCTCAAACATAGTGACCGGGATAATCTCCAGGACCCGGCGGATGAACCGGACCAGGTCTGACGAGTAGTACTGCGAGACCGAGCCGAGGTCTGGCGAGTCGGCCTGCTGGATGCGGATGCACGGCAGGTCGAGGAGCGAGGCTAGCTTGCGGAACGTAGACCGGAGCTTGACGATTGTCCCGGGATTCGCCCGGATCGCCGCCTGCATCAGGTCGATGTAGCTGGCGAGAATGTGCCACGCGTACGAGAGGTCAGTCACCACAGCAAGCGTAACCAGAACCTTGTTCTGGATGTTGACGTAGTACAGCATCTGCTGCAGGTACTTGCGCGTGTCACCTAGGAACTCCTTGACGTGCAGCGAGGCGTCGATGTGATGGAGCGACTCAACTTCCTCCAGTGCCACAATGAGTTGCTTGATCTTGCGCCCTGCAAGCGTTGGGTCAACAAACGAGAGGCCGGCAATCTTGTCCGAAATGTCCACAAACCACGACTGGAGGTGTGCGTTGGCTTCGACTCGCGTTAGCGCCTGAGTGCCGGAAAAGTACTCTGCGAGCTCAGTCATCCGGTGGACCGCTTCCTGCCGTGCCACCACCCACCGCTCCTGCTTCTTGGTCAGCAAAACCTCCACCACGTCCTTGACCTTGAACTCGAGCTCGGCGATGTCGAGCAGGAGCCGGAGAACAAGCTGCCGCGTTACAGACTTGTTCACCGCCGACGCCAGCTTCTTGTTGGCCGTCGTAGAGTGCAGCGCCATCCACCGCAGCGTGGCGTTGCCCTCGCGGAGCAAGTTGAGAATGCCGCGGATCTCCTTCATAACGTACTCCTCCTCGAGCACGCCCTCGGTCAGCAGCGCCTTGGTGTCTGCCAGCAGCTGTGGGACCTTGCTCACCTGGCTCGCCACCAGGCTCCGCACATGCGCCACCTTGATGGTGTTGGCCAGCGCGTCACGGGCCGCCCGGTACGGCTGCCACCGCAGCGAGAGGTCGACGGTAAAGCCCATGTAGTACGGGATGACCCAGTTGTCCGGAAAGTGCTTGTCCACAATCTCGCGCATGACGGCCGGCTCCGAGTGCAGGATGTTTGGCGCAAAGTAGAGGATGACGTAGATCATCGACGCTTGGCCTGCGAGCGCCACCGACCGATGCTCCGGGTCTGGGTAGTTGGCGACCTGCTCGTAGATGTCGTCCATGCGCAGCCGGCCCAGCACCATCCCCACCACCTTGCGCGGGAGGGGGAAGCGCGCAAACAGCGACTCGGGGTAGTCCTTCGGCTTCTTGTTTCCGGGCGTAAAGCCGGTGCTCGCGCACAGCTTGCAAACCTCATCGATGTTGGCAATGTCGCTCGCCTTTTGGTAGCGGTAGAACGAGATGAGCATGCGCTCCCGGATCAGCCCCGGAATCCGCATGTCCAGTAGCAGCAGCATGACTCCGTACAGATACACAGCCTCACTCACCAGCTGCTTGCCGTCAGCGTCGGCGAGGACAGACTCGAGCGTCCGCTGAATGAAGACTCCGCGGGCGAGGTCGTCGAGGTACCCGAGAAAGTCCTGCCGGTACACATACATCGACTCAAAGGTCTTGTAGAACCGAGTAAGCAGTTCGAGGTGGTTGTCACGAAACTCCTCGTCGGCCTCTAGCGCAGCCGCCGACCGCATGATGCCCTCCTCGTAGTATTCGATCCGCTGCAGGTACTCGAACGAAAAAATGACCGCCCCGTACTTGCTCCCGGCCCCACCGTCGGCAAACACGGCCGGGATGTGCTGCGAGAGCCGAAGCAGCTCCGCTACACCCACACACACCCAGCACAACGTTATCCTCCACCTAGTATGAGTCCCTTGTCTTGCTCATTCCCCCTCCCCCCTCCTGCTTCCCCCCCCCCCCCCCCCCCCTACCCGGTCCCTCCCCACACAGGGTCACATGCCCCCCCCTCTCGCACGCCCAGTCACCCCCTCTCCCCCCCCCCCCTTTCCCCCCAACCTACCAATGATGGCATTGCCACGCGCCACCAGCTGTAGAATGCACTCGCCTGCAGGGCTCGGGATGAACTCGCCCATGCCCTCTGCCTGCTTATGCAGCGTTGAGTGGTAGCTTGACCACCGTCGCTGGCAAGCCAGCTGCATGGAGCCATGGCTCTCTCCGCCAAAGCCTGCGGCAAGGCGATCGACGGCACAAAGCCGGACCACCCCACCCACACGCTACGCCACGCCACCAAGGATGCGGCGGCCTGCGAGTGCGTCACTGACAACGGCAGTGCGTGACTATGGGTGGACTCTGCTGCATGCGACTGTCGTGGCGGCTATCATCTCTGCTGTGCTCTGTGCCTTTACGGCCATGGCCTTTGGGTGGAGCGAAGCAGCCGAGGAGGGCGTCGAGGTGTCGTGGAGCGGGGCTCTGTGTGTGGTGACGGGCAAGGAGGTGCGCAAGGTCGACGATACGCGATCTGGGGCAGAAAAGGCTCTGACTCAGCTACTCTCATTCTTCTCGCTGATGGTCAACGGGGTCCGCGCGGTGTGGGGCTCGTACGCCCCGTTCTTTGACGTCGTTTATGCTCCGCCAGGCTCGGCCACTGCCGACGTCGAGGCCACGGCGATGCTCTCGGCCGTGGCCGTCTCGTTCTCGTCCGAGGACGCTGCTGCCGAAGCTGCTGCAGACTATGTGGTCGGCCGCGAGTACCGGTGCTGGATCGATGACGCCGAGCTGCATCACGTGGTCATGATCAACGACCGCCCGCCATCGGCTTGGGTCCGCTCGCTCGGCTGCTTCCGCGCGTTCTTTGTTGTTGTTCTCCCGGTCTACGCCTGCCTCGAGCTGGCGGTGTACATGGCGGCGCCTGTTCACGACCTGCGGCACGATACGGCAGCCAAGGTGACATGAGCCTGGCGTGGATGAGTGGCAGCTTCAATGGTGCTAGAAGGCCGGCGGCGGGCGCATCGGCGTGGCCGACGACGACGCGCCGTCGTCGTAGTCGTCGTGGAAGGTCGGTGGCGGGCGGTCGGGGTTGCCTTCCCAGTCGTCGTCACCATCGTCTTCGCCGCCGAGGCCGTCGCCAGAGCCGGTGGCCTCGTTGTCCTCGTCGTCGTCGGCGTCCTTGTCGACCGGCGCAAGAGAAATGTCGGCAATGTACGAGAGCAGAGCCTTGCGGTAGTAGCCCGAGGTGTCGCCCTTGATCCAGCGCGCGAGCGACTTCTTAAACTTGACCTCAAACGCGGCCTTGATGGCCTCGATCTCGGCCTTGGGCCGGTGTGCAAGCAGGCGCACGAGCTCGCGGTCGTCGGTCCCGAGGCCCTTCATCGACGCCATCAGCCGGTCGCAGGTGTAGTTAATCGGGTCGACGCACGCCATGAGCAGCTTGCGAGTGTCGCCAGAGAACTCCTTCTTGATGGCCACCGTCAGCCGCTTCTGGCGCAGGCGCTCGTACGCAAGATCGACGGCGGTCAGATCCTGCGGTGAGTGCCGCGCCATGATGTTGACAAACACGTCGGTGTTGGTCCCCCACTTCTTCTCGCCAGCACCGTAAAGCTGCTGCGCAAGCTCGTCGGCCTTGGCCTCAGAAATGGTGAGCCCGACAGTACGCTTGGCGTCAAGCAGGTTGAGAATGACCTTGCGGAACTTGCCCGACAGCTTTTTGGTGAGGAACTCCTCCAGCGGCTTGGTGTACATCCGCTCAAACTCCTCCGCGAGTCGCTTCAGCTCCACGCTTCGCCTGGTGGTAAAGATGTCGATGAGCTGTGCTTTCTTGCACTTTTTCACGGTCTCGGCGTCGACGGCCGCCCGCCGGGTTGAGAGTGTGATGAGGAACCGGGCGTGATGCTTGGAGAGTGACGACTTGAGCGACTTGGAGAGCTTGCGCCCGTAGTCGAGGACGTACGCGTCGGCGACGTCGGCCCGCTCGCGAGCGTTGACAGCCGCCTCGGTGAGGACGTGCGTGATCTTGGCCTTGCTTGCGCCGATACCGCGGAACGAGTGGTGCATCGCCTCGCGGAGCTTGACTGCTAGCATGTTGCCGGTGTGGGTAGCCGCGATACGACGGTACGCCCGCCGGTAGTTGCCACGGGTGTCGTCCTCGATGTCCTTGACCAACGCCCGCTTGAAAAGCCGGAAGTACGCGTGCTTGGCTAGGTGCAGCCGCAGCGGCGTCAGCCGCGCTCCGAGCATGGTGCGCCGCAGCAGCGAGTCATCTGTCCCCAGTCCCTTGACCGCGTTCCGCACGCACTCGGCGAGGTACTCCTCAGGCGCAATGAGCGCCTTGATCGTCCGCCGAAAGTCGCCCGACGTCTTCTTCTCCAACAGCATGTCAAAGTGGTGGGTAGCCGACTGCCCACGACGGTGGACAAGCTGCGTCACCTTGCGGTAGTGGCGGACAACAGCCTTGAGGTGGTGGGCCGGCCGGACGGCAAAAATGCCGACCAGCGCCTTCTCGTCGCAGCCTGACTTTTTCTCAATCGCGTCGAAAATGGCAAGTGCGTCGCTATGAACAAGGTCGGGATTGAGATCGTGGAACTCCTCGCGGTTGCCCTCGGCAAGCTTGGCCACGATCTTCTTGAACTTGCCGCCGGTCGCGCCCTTGATCACCCGCACCAGGTCCTTGGAAACCGTCCGCAGCAGCTCCTGGTTGATGGCCTCGATCTGCGCGTTCGAGCGCGTCGTCAGAATGTCGATGAGCACACTCTCCTTGGTCCCCACGCCCGAGACCGACGACATGATCTGCTGCGCATCATACTCGGCCGGTGAGAGAACCAGTCCGCACATCAGCCGCTTGAACGACGACCGCGTCTTCTTCTTCACCATCTTTGCCAGCGGGTGCTTGTTGCTCGCGTTGAACACCGCGCGCGCCGCCTGCACCTGGTCCGGCTCGCGTGTCGTCAGCAGATCCACCAGCAGCAGCTCGTTCTTCTTCTTGCCTTTGACAAGGCCCAGCGCCTGCGCCATCAGTTGCGCGTCGCCCTCGGGCGAGTACTCGGGCAGGAACGGGTTGACCGTGTAAAAGCCCGACCGAAGCTCCTCGCCATCGTTGATCTCCGGCATGCGGATGGCGGCCAGCAGCGCAGCATCCGAGTCGTCCGCCTCAAGATCTGCCAACGACGGTGCCGCTGTGTTGTGCCCCGTCCGCGATGCACGCTCCGACGAAGGGCCGTCATCATCCGACGAGTCCGACCGCTCACCGTCCGGATCCGACGACGCACCTGTGGCGTCGTTGTCCGAGTATGAGCCCGGCTCGGGCGTGTGCGACATGTTGTGGTCCGAATCGTCAGCAGACGCAGCTGTTGGATTGAAGGAGGATGGGGAAGGGGGGGGGGGGGGGGGGGAGTGTGTGAGCGCGAGAGTGTGTGTGAGAGAGAGGGGGGAGCCGAGAATGGCTAAGAGTGTTCCCAAACGCCCATGCGTTGCGCAATGCAGTAGGCGCATCAGCTAGGCTAGGCTGTAGGCATAGGAATGGGGCTACGGTGGGGTAAGCAGACTGAAGAGGGGGATAAAGAAAGAGAGCGCGCAGGGGGGGGGAGGGGGGGGAGGGAGGGGACGCGAGGCGACAATGGGTGGCGGGGTGGTGGTGGGGGAGCGGCCAGCGGAAAGGTGGCAAAACATACCCATGGTGGGAAATGCGAGAGTAGTGCTGCAACTGATGACTCTGCCTCGCCGAGTTGACGGGGGACGACGGGAGCCAGGCCATCATGTGCATTCAAAAGCTTCTTTACCGACAATTCGAGGCTACAAAAGCCGACCGTCGACACTGGCCTCAAAGGTAAGAGCCCGGAAGGCCTCCGAGTCCGAGACCGTCACGCCCGGCTGGGCCGAGATGAGGGCACCGACGCCGTGTGGGCCGCCGAGGTCGAGCAGCGAGGCGCCCGAGCCCTTGAGCGTGGCCCGGAGTTTGAGATCTTCGATGCCCGAGAAGCCCTGACCTTCGGCAAGCTTGGCGCGCACAAGCACCTTTGCTTGCTCCCGCTTTCGACTGGGAGCGCAATGGTGACCTCGCCAAGCGGGGTCAGGTTGCCGGGCGGCTTGCACTTGAGCGAGGCCACACGTTCCGGCGTGAGACGCGCGCCTGAGATGACCAGATCAAGGGTCGCCTGTGTCGGTGCGAACGACTCGACCGCCACAGAGACCTCGGCCATCAGCACCGCGCCGCCGTCGCTGTCCTGCTTGAGCTTGTACTTGAGCCCGGCCTTGAGAGGAACGCGTGCGAAAGAGGCGTCCGGCGAGAACGTGCCAAGCCGGAAGATCGGCCGCCCGCCGGACCGCGGCACCGCCAGCGCCACGTCGACCTGCCATGCCCCGTCTCCGAAGCGGTGGATGCCCCTAGCGTTGCCAGACGGAAGTCCGGTGCCGACCTGCGCAAGCTCATCCAACTCGGCGCCGTCGACCCGCAACAGCTCATGCCGGGCCGTGCTGCCAAGGACGACTGCGAAGCTCGCGCCGCTTGCAACCTCGACTGATGCGTCGGGCACACCGTACGCCACCTCGGCGCCGAGCGAGTACTGTGTTAGCGTGCCCTCGGTGTACACCGCAGTCCCCTGCTCGCGGACCATCGGAAGGACGACCACAGGCTCGGCATGCGCCGAATCCCACCGCGGCGAAACCGCCGGCGCAATCGATGTTAGCTCCAGGCCCGGCGAGCCAAAACCAGCCAGCGCGCTAGTCTCGTCGTCGGCCGCGCCGTCAAACGGATTGAAGCTCTCGTCTTCCACTCGCGTCGCCGGACCTGACGAAAAGGCCTTGGAAAAGAGGCCACCGTCGCCTGACGACGCCATCGACTCGGACCCATCGTCGCCGCCCACCATCGACCCAGCGCCCAGCGGGACTGTGAACACCGACGACGCGTCGTCGTCGCCGCGCTGCGGCGGCTCCAGCCCGCTCCCGCCACTCATCGCAGGGAACGCCGCATCAAACACCGGAGACGTCGCTCCAGATGCAGGATTCGAAACTGGCACTCCCGCCGCCCACGGATCACCGCTGCCAGGAGACATCGCACTCACGTTGCCCATCGACTCGCGCGCCATCGACTGGTCCAGCACTGACGAGTCGTCACCGTCTCCCGCCCTGTTGCCAAACGCTGCTTCAAACGCGTGGCTGGAGAACGGATCCGCCGCTCCGGCCGGAGCGCCAAACACAGCGTCAAACGAGGCAAACGCGCCCGAGGTCGGCGCGCCTGCAACTGCTGCGCCACTACTCACCGGACCAAGCGCACCGCCATCGTCGGACCGGGCCTCATCTTCTGAAAACTCAATCGCTGAGTCGTCGTCGTCATCATCATTCTCGACAAAACCAGCTGGCGCGCGCGGCTCGTGGCGCCGTGATCCGCGCCCACCTGCAGACCTGCGTCCGCTCGGCCCAGCACTCTCGCCGGCATCCATCCCAGTGAGCTCAATGTCGCCCACAGCGTCACCAAACCCGTCGTCTGCAGCGCGCGCAGGGGGCCGACTTGAGTCCTTGGCCTTCTTGGCCTGGCGAATTGCCTTTCGCAACGCCTCGTCGTCCTCGTCGTCGTCGTCATCATCATCGTCGTCCTCCACGCCGCGAGCCTCGCCTCGCTCGGCAGCGCTTTGCGCTGCCATGCCCGACTGGGACGCCCCACCTTCCTGCTCGTCCCCGCTACGCTTGCAGCAGCAAATGCAGCAGAGGACCAGAATGACAAGGAGCGCGATGACGAGAACAACGGTGAAAAGCAGCGTGCTGCCCAGACCCAGGAACGTTGTTCCCGACTCGCTATTGGGGCTTTGTGCAGATGACGTTGATGACCGCTTGTTCGTTGTAAACGTGATGACATCCGAGAACGGCGACATGCCCAGCGAGTTGATCGCCGCAATCCGAGCATGGTACGTTGTCTCCTCCGCCAGCGTCGTGAGCTCGACTCGGGCATCCGGAGCGCGCCGCCGCGACTCGGTCACAGACACGTTGAACGACGGATCAAACTGCAGGTTGCGTGACACTTGCACCAGGTACTCCAAAACCGGCTCGCCGTTGGACCGTGCCGGACTCCACCGCAGCACCACCGTCGTGCCGTCGATCTCGGGCGGATCCACATCAGACGTCGGCTCGGGTGCAGTCGCAGGCAGTGCCAGACCCGCGCCAGAACTGCAGAGCGACGGCGACGACGGCCCCACAGACGACTCGGCCACAATCCGCAAGCTGTAAACCGTGCCTGGCACAAGATCCGTCAGTGTCGCATTGAGCGTGCTGACTCTCGCTCGCACAATGAACGTCGCCTCGGCATCGACTCGCGCCTCGACTCGGTAGACGAGCACAGGCGCGCCGTTGGTCACCGCTGCGGCCCAGCTTACAAACACAGCTTTGGGACCAACTTGCGTGACAGACGGGCATGCCAGCGGCTGTGGCGCCAGCGGGCTGACACCAAACAGCCATATGTTCGAAGGCGACGAGATACCTGCCGCAGACACCGCAGACACCGTCAGCGAGTACGTCACTCCGCGCTGCAATCCGGTAATGTTGAGCGCAGGCTCGCTGTTGGTCATAACCGACACTGTCTCGTTGATCGCAATCACGCCACCTTGCTCCACGTGAACAAGATACTCGACCACAGGCGCACCGCGCTCGACAGCCGGAGCCCAAGTGACCAGCACTCGTCCAGCGGACAGATCGGCCACCGTCGTCGTCACCGAGGTCGGCGGGAGTGGCGGAAGTGCAAGAGTCTTCGCCTCCATTGCACAACCGGCTGCACTCCCGGCGCTGTTCCACGGCACCACGCTAATGTTGAATTGACTTCCGGCATCGAGGCCGCTCAGCTGATAGACCGGTTCCGTCAGCGTTCCCGAAAACACCATGGTGCCGGTCGCCATGGCCACAATTTCGACGTCGTATCCTCCGAGCGGAAAGCCGCCGTTGTGGGCGGTGGGCGGCCAGGCTGCCCGGAACGAGCTCGGCGTCACGTCGCTCACCACGCCGTCGGTGCACTCGATTGGCCATGGCTCGCCCGGCGGCAAAGAGACCACCTCGGCCGGCGATGAGAGCGAGAGCCCGTATGCGTTGCGCGCCTGGGCTGTTACCTCGTAGTCCTCGCCGCCAAACAGCCGGCCGAGGTGCTCGGTGGTAGCCACAGCTTGAGCCGCGTCAACCTCGACCTGAACGCTCGTTCCCAGCGCCTTGCCGCTTGTTCCTGTCGCCACGAGCACAACCGACGTGATTGGCGAGCCCTGCGACGACGGGAGCGCCTGCGCTCGTGCCGCTACCACCTGCGACGAGACAACGCTGACAAGCGGAGCGAGCGGCGCCCGCGGCGCAAGCGGAGGGCTCGACACTGTCGCACAGAGCGACCTGTTGTTAAACGGCGCAAAGCCCTCGGCGTTGCCAAACCGCAGCGCCAACGAGTACTCGGTAGCGCCGTCAAGGTCATTGACAGACACAGCGGTATCGGCTGCCCCGATGCCCACCGCCGCAACCAGCTTGGTATCGCCGAACGAGCCACTCAGAGGCGTCAGCTCGATCTCGACCACAGTAATGGGTGATCCATTCTCAGCAGCTTGCACAAACGAGACCTCGGCCCTGGCTGAGACGTTGCCGGGCGCAGCAATGACCTCGACGTTTGTCGCGCAGCTGGCAACGTCGGGCACTGTCGGTGGCGTCGTCGCCACCGGCGATAGCTCAGCAAGGCTCAGCGAGGAGTACAGGTACTCACCCTGACCATCTGGCTTAAGGCATCCAAGAGCAAACCCAACCAGATAGTCACGCCCGGGACTGAGCCCACTAATGACGATGGGCTGAGGACCGAGTGGAAGTGGGGGCGACAAGGTGACAATGGAAAAGCCCAAAAGTTGGTCGACGACTTGGCAACCACAGCTACGGCGTGGTCAATGGGCAGGCCTCGGGACGACCCGGTTGCCACGCCGTCCCAGTGCGCTGTCACCGAAGTGTACGTTGACTCGGATGTGATGGCTTGCGGCGCCGGCTGCGCCTCTGGTGGTCCTGGAAGCGTCGTGACCACTGTGGTGGGGGAGAGCGCCGAGTCGCCAAGGACCGACGATGCAAACGCGGCAACCGCCACAATCTGGTGGGGTTCAAGCTCGTCGACGACAACAGAGACCACGTCACCCGGCCCGCTCGAGGTCGGCACCCGCACAACCTCAGAGCCGTTGATCACAACCCCAAGCTCGACCACCGGCGAGCCGTTGTCGGAGAGCGGAAGTGTGATGTTGACCACCACACTCGTGGTGACCGGCAGATAAGGTCCAGACACGGCGTACGCTGCCGGCTCTGGCATCGCCACCACAATAGTCGGGGCATCCGGCGGCAACGAGCCGGTCGTCACTGAAGTGGCTGCGGAGAGAGGAGAAACACCATAGTCAGTGACAACCTGGATGGCAAACTTGTACGACGCAGCAGGCTCGAGATCGCCCACCGTCGTCGACGTGGTCGGAATGGAGATGTTGGCCACAAAAGTGGACGGCGGCGACGGATCCGACATGTTAGCCGAGAGGAAGAGCGAAAAGACACCCGGCATGCTGCACACGCCCGGCGGCGTGTTCCATAGCAGGGTCACCGAGTCGAGTGTTGTCGCAGTGACCAACAGTGTCGCCACGACCGACGGTGGCTCGCCGGGTGTGCTCACTGCCACAGCAGGCGACGGTGCCGAGTTAGCCACCGCGTTGGCCGCAATGACTTCGACTTCGTAGTCGCCGGCCATGCAGAGGCTGGAGACATCCAGCGTGGTCACTTCACCGGCAATGGTAAAGGTGTCGTCATGGTTTCCGGTCCCGGTGATGTGAACCGTGTAGAACTCGATGGGCGCCCCGCCGGTGTACAACGGCGGCGACCACGAGATGTGGATTCCGCGCGGGCCGTCGGCGGTCGCGTTGACCATGTCCGGTGGATTTGGCACGCCCGGTCCAGTCCGGCTCACAACGAGGTCTGACGGCGGACTGGCGCCGACTTTGTTGTAAATGACAAGGCGCACGCCGTACTCGGAGTCGGGCATGAGGCCGTCGAGCTCAACCGGCGCTTCCGAACCTCCACTCGCGGTCACGTTGGCCTGCTGCGGGTAGCCGGCGACAGGCGACTCGTCGGGCATAGCGTAGACCATGACTTCAACAGTGGTAAAGTCAAAACCGTTGTCGTCGGGGCCCTGCCACTCGAGCAGCAGCAGCGACGAGGTCTCGAGGCTCGTCGCCGCCGGATAAGCGTACAGCTGGATACTCGTAACCGGATCCGGTGGCCCGGTCGCCGTCATGGCCATCCCGGTAGAGTCGGGCGGATAGACTGGTGCGGCGCCAATGCCGACGCTGTTGACAGCAGCAACGATGAAAGCATAGTCGCGGTGGACGTAGAGCCCGGTGATGTTGCGCGAGAGCGAGGCGTCACCGGCCATGTCGTATACCTTGGCTCCGGTCACCGTGTCGTACGCGAGGACAACGTAGTCGCTCACTGGGCTGCCGCCGTCAAACGGCTCGGCCCACCCGATATGGATCGATGAGCGGGTGGACGAGAGTGAGAAAAACGAGGTCGGGTCAACCGCGGACGGCGCAACCGCCTCGGGCGACAGCCAGTACAGCGGGTGCGATAGATCGGACGAACCAACCGCGTTGATTGCCAAGACCTGCACCAAATACTCCGTCGAGGCCTCGAGACCAGTCACCACCCCAGACGTCGTGTTGAACGAGCCCGAAATGACGAACGAGTCCGAGATGCGGGTGAGGAAGACATCGTACTGAACGATGGGTGAGCCCGAGTCATTCGGAGCATCCCACAACAGCGACAACGTCCGTGGGTTGACCGCAGTCGCCACAAAAGTCTCCCGATCCGGTTTCTCGGGCTCGGCCGGCCCGGAGAGAAAGGCAAACGGCGGGATGACAAACGAGGCCTGCCCGGCCGCGTTGGCGCCGAGCACTATCACACCGTACTGGGTGTTGTGCTCGAGTGTAGAGGCAGGCAGCGCCAACTCCATGCCGTTGCCAGCCACAGAGCCGATGTAGACTTCGGCAGCAAGGCTCTCCAGCGCCTCGTGGGCCTGCGACCCGCCGCCAGGCTGCGTAAGGTGCGGCTCGATCGGCGGTGCCGCGGCGCTAAACGCCTGCATCTCAAAGACGTAGATAGTGGTGTTGAGCAGCGGCATGCCATTGTCGTCGATCGGCGACCAAGTGATGCGAGCAGATGACCGGGTGACGTCGACAGCAGCAACGCCCACGGTGGGCTCCGGGAATCCTGGCAGCGTCGTGGCGACAACTTGACACGAGGGCGGCGAGCTGCCCACTGAGTTGGTGGCGGTCACCGTAACTCCGACGTCGGTGTACCGTCCGAGCCCAGCGAGGGCAGCCGGCGACGCAGAGACCACCACGTTCATCGACTCGCCATCAGGCGTGCCGCCGCTGTCGAGATGGGTGTAGACAACGGTGTAGTTGGTGATGGTCGAGCCGGCATCGGACGGTGCGACCCAGGCAACGTCGAGCTGGGTGTCCGAAACTGGCGTCACTACGATCGAACCGCAGGCAACGGGGTCGGGCGGACCAGCCAGGGTCGTGGTGGCGTTGAGGCATGGCGGAGGTGGCGATGTGCCCTGGGGGTTGATTGCCACCACATATAGCTCATACGGCGTGGCCGGGAGAAGACTTCCAACCACTTCCGAGTTGGTGGCGCCAGGAACCGCAACCGTGATCGTGGACGTCGGCTTACCGGCCGAAGTCGCGACGGTTGGCACGGCCGAGACTTCATAGCTGGTGATGGCCGCACCCGAGTCATAAGGTGCAGTCCAGGTGAGCGCAACAGCAGTTGCATTGATGACGCTCAGATCAACGAGGCACCCAACGCTGTCGGGAGCTGCGGGGTCCGCAGTCCGCGCAGTGAGCGCCGGTGGCGGCGCCGGTGTCGAGAGCTCCGCACCTTCGGCGAGCGCCTGGATCTGGATGGCGTAGTTGGTCGAGGGCTCAAGCCCGATGAGCGTGGCAGCAACAACGTCGCCCTGCGGGAGTGACTCGGTAAAGTTAAGCCACTGGTGATGGGCGCCGGGCTCAGCGGAGAAGAGAAGTGCCACGACAGGTGTGCCGTACGAACGCGGGATGGCTACTTCGAGGCTTGCAGTGTAGTGGGACGTGGCGGTGACGTAGGCATCCACGACAGGGTCAGCAGCAGCTGGGCGAGTGCGAAAGACCAGCGGCGGCGACGGCGGCGAGGTGCCAGCAGACGAGGTGGCGGTCACAGTTGCTTCGTACTGTGTGTACGACGAGAGCGACGAGACCAGCGTCGTTGTGGCGCCGGTAGTCGAGAAGAGAGCTGGAGATGGTGCGTCGGGCGGATCGAGTGCGGTGAGGACAATGTTGTAGTCGGTGATGGCTGCGCCGCCGTCGTACGGCGCGTCCCAGGATAGCTCGGCCGAGTCGGGAGCGACCGCCGAAGAGGCAAGGCCGGTGGGCGAGTCGGGGGCCTCTGGAGCCGGCGACTCGTAAAAAGAGACCTCCGAGGGCTCTGAAGTCGAGCCATCGGCAAAGACGGCAACCAGGACGACAACGTAGTCAGCTGAAGCGTCGACCGACTCGTACACTGTCCACACCGGCGACTCGGGCTGTCCAAGCTCGGCAACGGCAAGGAGCTTGGAAGGGAAGTTGGCAAAGACTCCAGGAGCGACAAACTTGCTCACGTTGACCGAGATAAAGACTACGTCCTCTACAGCAGGTGGCAAGGTGAAGGTCACGTTGAACGTGGTTGGCCTCACTGCCTCGGTACCCGGTGTTGGTGGTCTGTAGCTTGCAGCAGAGGCAAGCGTCGCGCAAGCAACAGCCGCAGCAAGCAGCAGAACCCAAAGGTGGCCAGGCATCCTCTCAAGTGTTTGGCAAGGGAGAAGAGGTGCCTTGGTGGAAGAGAGGTGGGAGGGGAGGGGGGGGGGCGCGCGAAGAGTGGTTGAAACGGGGAGGAAGAGGCCTGGCGCCACCGAGTTGTCGTTCAGCCGGTGCTGCGCGTGCGGTGGAGAATTTATTTCTCAGAGGTAGAATTTGATCAAATGGCTTCGAGAGCGACGGCGTTCTTAGCGTCTGCGTTTGTGCCGGCAGTCGAGGAGGACGAGGACCGGAACTTCAGAAAGGCGGCAACGCCGCCGACAAGGAAGAGAATGATGACAAAGCCGCCGACACCGGCGGCGATCAGCATGCCGGTCGACGACGAGAATCCCGATGGTGAGGACGAGCCTTGGGTGGCGGCGGCAGTCGAGGTCGGGGTCGAGGTAGACGGCGGCGGTGGAGGGGAGGCTGCCGGCGACGAGGTTGTTTGCGGGCGGGATGGCGGAATGGTGGCGAGCGGAGCGCAGGTGCCGGGCGTGGCGCCAAAGGTGATGATCTCGCCGCCGGGCGGGTCGGCGACCTTGGGCTGGCGGATGTCGAGAACGTCGGACTGGCAGAGCGTCCAGTCGGTGTTGTTCGGGTCCGAGGCGCTGGGAAAGTAGCCACACTGCCAAATGCCGGTCTGGGCAGGATAGTAAGAGAGGAAGCTCATGAGCATCTCCTCGTCGGAGGCGGTGCCAAAGACCACGGGAGCCGACTTGCCGGTGGTGTCAAACACGCCGTGGACGTTGATCTCGTCACCAGGTTGGAGAGTGTAGTTGACGGTGGTCAGTTGCTGGTGGTTGAAGTCCCAGAACTCAATGCGATCCTCGGCCTCGGGCACGCGCTCGCCGGCGCGATGGACAGTTGTCCAAATGGTCTTGCCGACCGAGTGCATGTGGAGGAAGACGGTGAAGACGTTGAGAGGCTGCGTCCAGCGAGATGTGCACTCCGATGGGCACGTTGTCTCGTAGTGAAAGGCGGCCTCGCCGGCCGGGATGGCCGGGAGCCGGACGGCCGGATCGCCGATCCAGAGGACGCCGGCGTCGTGCTCGCGAAGGATGTCAGTGTAGTGGATGCGGACGCCGGACGAGTCAGTCACACCCGGAGTGTTGGTCGGGTTGTCATAGTGGAACTGGATGCGGAGGTGGGTGATGGTGGTGCCTGCACCGAAGCGGAAGCCCGCGACTTCGGGAGTGACAGTCGACGGCCCGCCGACGGCCCAGGCGCCCACAAGGTCCCAGCACTCACCGAGCGTGGGCCCGGTGCAAAAGTAGAACACCATGTGATGGACGTACTTGGGCTGGACAATGACAGGCTCGATTTCGACAAGATGATACGGCCGATCGTTGGGGAGCGCAAAGAGCGTCTCCTCGTAGTGGGTTTTGATGGACGGAACCGGAAAATCAGCGTGGCGGAGCTCAAGGGTGGTGAGACCGACCGGACGGACGTAGCTCTCACCCCAAAAGGTGACCTGGTTCGTGGCGCGGTTGGCACCGTGGTACGTCAGCGTGTCTGAGCTCCCAAACGCCCACACCACATGCATGTTGCCCTCGACAAAGGGACGATCCTGCGGCGAGCCGGTCTCCTTGGCGCGGACAAGCTCAACTACCGTCCGCCCACCTGCCTCGTAGCCGTTGACAATGACCCAGTCGGAGCACGCGGCGTCCTCGGTCGGCGTAGAGAAGCCCAGCGCGTGCATGTCGCGAACTGTGACGACCCCCGACGAGCCGTCGACCGACGCCACCACCATGTCTGAGCCCGGCATGGAGCCCGACGTCGGCTCCGAGAGACCAAAGCCAACCCATCCGGTCGTCGCAGCATCCAGAGCAATCTCCACCGACGTGGCGTGCACTTTCCAGTACAGCACGTAGTCGCCTGAAGCAAAGCTTGCTGTCCCGTCGTAGTACGCTGGGTCGAGGGAAGCTGCCGTGGCCTGCGCAGCAAGGGCGAGGACAAAGACGACGGCCACGGCGGGAGTGAGGGCAAGGGTAGATGACATGGACATGGGGAAGAAGTGAGAGTGAGGTGGGAGGGGGGGGGGAGGAGTGGTGGGGGAGCGTGCATGTGTGTGTTGAAGGGACGGGGGGGGGGGGGGGGGGGACGAAGGAAAACGTACGAGAACTCTTGTTGGTGGCGCATGCTCGGCCCTTTTTTCTAACATGTTGATGATGATAACGCATCGGAGCCAGGAGTGCCAGGCGTAGCTATCTACCGTTGACCAGAGAAGAGGAGGAAGTAACCGGCGAGTCTTGAGCCAGGGAAGGGGGGGGGGGGGGGGGAAGTGAGAGAGAGAGAAAGAGAGAGGGAGGCAGTTAGCTGCATGCAGCTGGTGTGTATCGCCTACAATGACGAGTTGACGGCATCGATGCGGGCAAGGGTCGACTCGAGCTGGGCCGAAATCTCCTCGTCAGTGAGGGGCTTGGCCTGCTTGGAGCGCGTAGCATGGGCGCCCGGCGAGCGGGAGGAGGGATGGGTGTCGGCGTCGGCAAGGAGCGGCGAGTCAAATGGGCGGAACGACTTGGGCGCAATCTTATCGCGCGCGGCCTTTTGCTCGAGGCGGCGCTTGCGGCGCTCGATGACTCGCTGGCGAACAAGGGCTGCGCGCTCCTCGTGAGCCTGGCGCTCGGCCTCGAGCTTGCGGCGGCGGCGCTCGGCCTCGGCCTCCTCACGGAGACGGAGCCACTCGGCCTTCTCGGCGTTGCGCAGCTCTTGCTCGAGAATAAAGAGCTTGGCTTTGTTGGCCTCAATGTCGATGACCTTGCCGGTCCGGTCGATGAGCCCGTTGTCGAGGAGGAACCGGTGGACACGCGGGTTGGCAAAGTAAGAGGCCAGCGCCGGGTCGAAGAGCGAGTCGTATGTGTCGAGCGGCGAGCCCTGGCTTCCCTCGGGATGCAGCCGAAGATTGAAGCCCTGCTCGCGCTTCTTACGCGCCTCGGCCTCGGCCCGAGCCGCCGCCGCCCGCTCTGCCCGCGACTGGTCCCGCATGCCAAAGGCCAGAACCGAGAGCGGCAGCCGATGCGGATCGCGCGAGACCGGCCGGCCGACGCCCGGCCGGCGTCCGCCACCGCGTCGCCTCCCTGCCGTCACTGGTCGCCTCCCTTCTTTGCCGCGACTACGGCCACGGCCTGGCCGACTGCGTCTTCCACCATACACCCTATCTCTATCTGCTGCTGCTGCTGCTGCTGCTGCTGCTGCGCCGTCTCGCCTCTGCGCCCTCCGCCTGCGTCGGCCCGGGCCTGCGGTGACTGGACGGCCGTTGGTCGACGACATGAGTGGCTGGCAGCGAGCGGGAGAGTACGCCAGGGTCTAGTGGAGGGTGAGAAGGAGTAGTGGTGAGCGGTTTTGGTGAGCGGTGCGGTGTGGTGAGCGGTTTTGGTGAGCGGTGCGTTGTGGTGAGCGGTGAGATGGAGCAGTAGTGGGCAGTTGGGCGGTGGTGAGCGGTGGTGAGCGGTGGTGAGCGGAGCGGCCAGAAGTGGGCCATGGTGAAGCGGTTGTGGGCCCACTTGCTTCGCAGTCATTGATTTCATTCAACCGCAATGGATCGACTGGGTCCGACTCGCATTTGTTGCTGGCCATTTCACTCGCGTCATGGCCTTTTGGGGAGCCGTGTGCTGCAAGGGCGCGCCGCCGTCCGAGGACACGGAGCTGTACATAGACGACGAACGGCTTGTTCGCGAGGCTGCCTTTGATGACGTACGTACCATATGTTCCCACTGACATTTTGTGCTTGCAGTGCTCCCCTCCCTGGGCTATGTGAGGTTTTTCTCCTCCTTCCCCCTCCCTTACAGCCAGTACTGGGCGAGTGAGCGAATAGCCACCGCAGCCGTGTCGGTATGGATCAGAATTGAGTGGTTGGTCTGCGGCTGGAAGGAGGGACCATGCTGCCAGGTCGGGAGAGGAAGCGGGGAGAGGCAGGTGGGCTGGAGGGGGACTTACTGGGTGGTGCGGACGGGCGGGGGACGGGAGCAGGACCTGCGGAGGATCAAGCGACTGCGTGCGCAGCAAAAGGTTAATGGTGTTCCGTTTGACTATGCCTTTGTCAACGAGGCCAAGAGCCGGGCGGAGATGACGGCGCCCGAGCCCGAGTGGGGCTCGCTCGACGCATACAAGGTCCACTGGGACGAGCTGCTCGGCGAGGGCGCGTTTGGAGCGGTGTATCGTGCGGTGCGGCGGTCGGACCGGGCCAAGGTTGTGGTCAAGACCATCAAGCCGGAGAAGGAGAAGCCGGCAGCGGTGCGGCAGGAGGTGATGATGCTCAAGCTCCTGGGCAAGGGCCCCAACATTGTGCAGATGTATGACACGGTGATGCAGCCGGAGACCGGGCTCAAGGCGCTGGTCTTTGAGCATGTGGACAACCCCAAGTACAAGAAGGTCTTTGCCGCCATGTCCAACACCGAGGCGCGGTCGTACCTGTACTCGCTCGCCCTCGCCATCCACTACACCCACTCGCAGGGCATTGTCCATCGCGACATCAAGGCCGGCAACGTGCTGTACAACCCCAAGACCCGCGATCTCCGGCTCATTGACCTCGGCTTTTGCGCTCACTTTATGCCCAATGTCGAGTGGACAAACTGGCCGGGCACCCGCTCGTACAAGGCGCCTGAGCTCTTCCTCCACTACCGGTACTACGACTACCAGTCGGACATGTGGTCGTTTGCATGCATCATGGGCCAGATCATTTTCCAGCGCCGCTCCATGTTCGAGTCGGACCGCGGCGGCGACGACCGCGAGCTCGGCAACCGCAACCACATGGTTGCCGTGTGCAAGGGCCTCGGCACTGCCGACTACATCCGCTTCCTCAAAAGTATGGCTCGACGCTGCGCGCCCGCGAGAAATATCCCATCCGCCTGTTTAAGGCCGAGCGCTGCAAGTCGTCGCGCGTCAACTGGTCCATGCTCGTCAACAGGACCAACAAGCATTTGGCCTCGCCCGATGCCATCGATCTCATTGACCAGCTCCTTGTCTACGACCACGAGCTCCGCTACACTGCCCGCCAAACCCTGGCCCACCGCTACTTTGACCCCATCCGTTCGCTCGAGTACACCCAGCTGCTCTTCTCTTCGGGCCGCTTCTCGTCGCTTGTCGAAGAGTCGACCCGCTACACCATCTCTCCCTCGGCCTCGTCGCGCTCGGCCTCAGCTTCGGGCTCTGGCTCCGGCTCCGGCTCCAGCTCCGGCTCCGGCTCTAGCTCTAGCTCTAGCTCTGGCTCTGGCTCGTATGCCTGCCACTTTGACGTCTCGCCCAACATCGAGTACGACCGCGACTCGTCGTGGTCAGATGACGACCAGTCGGACTCGGCCTCGCAGCCGCGCAAGGCCAAGTCCAAGTCCAAGTCCAAGTCCAAGTCCAAGTCTAAGGATTCCAAGGATGCAAAGTCCAAGGCCAAGGCCAAGGCCAAAGCCAAGGAGAGCAAGCCCGCCAAGGACGGAAAGGCATCCAAGGCCAAGGCCAAGGCCAAGTCCAAGTCCAAGTCTAAGGATGTCAAGGATGCAAAGTCCAAGTCCAAGGCCAAGGAGAGTAAGCCCGCCAAGGACGGAAAGGCATCCAAGTCCAAGGCCAAGAAGCGCGGCAAGTCGAGCAGACAAGCCAAGCTGTCAGCGTCGTCGTCGACCATCGAAGCGTCGTCGGCAGCGGCGGCTAGGCCGCCCAAGGCCGAGTCGCCGCGCTCCGGCTACGAGTTGAGCTCGCCTCCGCGTCCCGCAGGACGCAGGTCCAAGCCCGTGACGCTTTCGTCACCGTCAGACTCGTCATCATCGTCAGACGACAACAGGCTGTGATGTTGGCTCACGGCTGCGCTTTAAACTCCAGCCGCCCGCTCCTCCTCACTGCAAGCACGCCGGCCACCGTCTGCGACGCGCCAGGCACGAGGGCAAGCACCGCCTCGACGCCACGCCGCCGCGGAGGGTATGTTCGCTGCGCCACCGCTGTGATGAGCATCGAGACAGCTCGGAGCCGCAAGACCTGCGGAAGCGCATCCAGCGCCTCGTCTGCCACACACAGGCTCCCGTCAAGCCGCACCGCCACATGGGCCGCCCGCCAACTCGCGAGCTGCGCCTCGGCGGCATCGCGCATGTCGCGTAGGACAAGAGCAGTCTGAGCAAGACTTCCGGAAGCATCGACAACAGCGGCGGCGGGCAACCGCAGCGCAAGCCGCGCCCGAGTCCGCGCATACTTGGTCATCTCGTTCGACGGATCCGCAACCCATCCGCCGGGCGCGAGGCCAAAGGCCTCGCATGTTGCCTCGAGCTGCGCCCGGGTGTGCCGGGTGAGTGGTCGGGAAAGCCACGGCGGGCCGTCAGCTGAGAGATGTTCGCTTGTACGCACGTTGCGCTCCGCCAGCAAAGTCGGCGGCGGTCGCAGAACGGCCATAGCCGCCATGGCCGCCAGGCCGTCGACGCCCGAGGCCTGCCCGGCCCGAAGCAGAGTCGACTCGGCCACATCGTCCGCCGAGTGACCGGTGATGATGACATCGATGCCGCTTCTTGCAGCGTACCGCGCCATAGCTGCATAACGCAGCATCCGGCCGTGCTCCTGCGATGAGGGCGGCTCGTCAACGCGGAGCACAGTGCCTGCGCCCGGCGCCATCGCCGGGAGCAGCGGCGATCCAGGCAGTGATGCCACCCACGCAGCCTCCTCAGCTGCCTCAGCTCTCAAGCGATGGTCTACAGTCACCACGCTCGCCTCGGCTGCCGCCCCGGCCGCAATCCACTCGTCCACCAGCGCCGCCGCCGCCAGCGAGTCAGCCCCGCCAGACACCGCCACCGCCACCCGCAGCCGCCCACCCTCCCGCCTCACCGCGGCCAGCAGACCTGCCATCCGCTCAGCAAACACGCCAGCCGCTATCCGCACCGTCATCGAAAGACAGAACCAGCAGAGTGCAAGTGGCGTGACAAGAGGCCGCCTCGTCTCCGCCGCAACCGCAACGCCGCCGCGTCAAACCAGACTTGCCGCTCTGCCCGCCACCGCCAGGCTGCCACGGGTTTCACTCGCCGAAGTGCCGAAACCGAAAACGATACACAACCGGAACGAGCAGCAGCGGGTGGCGGTTGGCCAACTCCTTCCTCCCTCCCGCCACCACCGACCCGGTCTCCGTCTACCCTCTCCCCAAGAATACGACACCTCACTCACGCCCCTTCCACCTACCCACCCACACACACCCCAAACCCGACCCCCATACCTGCGCTCGTTCCCCATGGAGCACAAGGATAGGCTGGCACCGCTCGAGGTGGTGCAGCTGTCGGCGCTGCTCGACGACTGCGTGGGCTCGCTCTCGCTGTTGGGCGACATCACCCGCGACATCCTGGAGCAGCGGGAGGAGTTGGCGCAGGCGACAGGCGACGAGACTTCGCAGATCATTGCGGAGCAGAAGCGACTGGAGGCTCGATATGAGGAGCTACTCGCCCAGCGGGCGTCGTACAAGGCGCTGGCCAACAAGTCAAAGTACAAAGACGTCGAGGCCGAGCTGACGCAGATCGCGTACCAGCTTCGGCAATCGACCCAGCTACTCTGCCGCAACCTCAAAGAGAACCCCAACGTGGCCGACAACCTGCTCAAGATCCAGTCGGAGCGCCGCTCTCTCATCCACCTGCTGAAGGATACCCAACTCGAGCTCAACGAGCTCCACTTCCGGACCCTCCTCACCACCGTCCGTGAGGACAAGGCCAAGGAGGAGGGCCTGCGCCGGACCATCGAACGCGAGCGCGAGGCAACCGCCGAAGTCAAGCGCCTCTCTGCACAGCTTGCCGCCGTGGAGGCCGACAAGGACAAGATGATCAAGGAGCTCAACATCATCATCGCACGCAAGAAGACCGCCCTGCAAAAGGCCAAGAAGCAGGCGCTCTCCAACTACAACTTTTCGCGCAAAAGTACTCGGCTGTCAAGTACTCGCGCCGCAGGCAGTGGGAGGAGCGCGAGCGCGAGCTCGTTGCCGACATCGACACTCTTGACAAGAAGATTGCCATCGAGACAAACGTCCACAACAAGACCATGGGCTTCCTCGAGCGTCAGGAGCACAGGCTCCAGGAGGAGATCACAGCCTGGAACGACAAGTACTTTGAAGACATCGAGGCCAAGCGCAAGGAGGTTGAGTCGCTCAAGATCCAGCAGTCGCAGACCGTGGCAGAGATCGAGAATCTCACCCGCGAGTACGAGAACATGCGCGCCGTCGTCGAGGAGGACCACCGGCTCGCCAAGCAGCGCGAGGCTGCCATGCTCTTTGGCGTCCGCCTCGGTACCGCCGCCGCTCGCCTGCAGAAGCTCTGGCGTGGCCACCGCGTTCGCAAGAAGATCCTCGCCGCCCACACCAAGAAGAAGCGCAAGCGACCCAAGAAGAAGAAGTAAAGGCACCGTTGCATCGCTCCTCTCCGCTCCACTTTTCGCAGCCCGTTTACTTCCTGCTTGGCGGTCATATGCCTTTACTCGGCCTTGTGAAGCAGCCGGAACAGCTTGTGGGTTGTGACGGTGAGCGCGAGGTTCTCGCGCGCAAACGCGGTCCAGTCCTCGGCTGACGACGTCATCATCACCCGCTTGCCAGCGCGGAGCGCCACAGCGGCGGCCTGCTGAATCGACGACGCCGCTGCTGTCATGGCCGCGGGCGGCGGCGGGACTGACGCGTCCACTAGACGGGTGATGATCTTGACCTGGTTGACCACCTGCGACATGCCCTGGATGATGATCGACTTGTTCTTGGTCGCGATGCACTCCACAAGCTCGTTCATGCACACGCCAAAGCGGAAGAGGTGCCGCTCGAGGCCGGTGAGGGCGTCGGCGTCGACGTTGGCTCCAAACGCCATGCCGCCGACTGTTGCCAGTGCGCCCGAAGATCTGCTGGCGCTCCCGCTCGCGTCGGCCCTGCTCCCGCCGCCCGCATCCCCCGCGCCTCCGCTCTCGCCACCGCTCGCGTCGTCAAAGTTAAAGTCCGACAGCGCGACTTGCGCTAGCGACTTGCGCGCCTCCTTTCGCCGCGACGCCTCAACCTCGAGAGACGCTGTTGCCGCAGCAGCTGCGGCGTCAACCTGCGACGCCTGCTCCCGAGCCGACGCCTCCCACATCGCCTCCAACGACGAGGTGTGAACGACTGCATCGTCATCGTCGGCAAGCACGGCCGTTGGTGAGATCTGCTGCAAGCCCACAATCGAGCGCCGATGCATGCGTGTTGTCTCGCGCCCGCGCCGGAGCTTCGAGTACTCCTCGTCAATGCCCGCGGGCGACGAGGCGCTGTCAGCCGCGGCCGCGGCCTCGGCCGATGCTGCGGCCTTGGAAGCTGCGTCGGCCGCCTGCGCCGCAGACTCGGCCGCGCTCGCACCGGGCCTCAGCGCCGGATCTGACGTCAGCAACTCTGGATACTTGTGGACAGGCGTGAACATGGTGACCGACCACGAGTCGTAGCCCTTGACCGACGCGAAAATCGTGTCGCCGGCGCAAACAAACGGCGACGTCGCCATGAGCAGATGTGACTCGACAAGCGAGCCGTTGATGAGCGAGCGGACCTGGGTGATACCCACGGAAAAGACAATGAGGAACGTGCCAAAGCAGGCAAACGAGATCGGCTCGATCTCCCAGTCGATGCGGAGGATCACAGCGCCGAGCGCATCTACAAGAACACCAAAAGACTGGAAGCAGAGAAAGACGCCGGTGCCAGGCAAGTAGAAAGCGTCCATCGGCACCGCGTCAAGCGCAGACGCCGTGTACATCGGGTACGGCAAGTAGAGCTGCTCCACCGCTCCGGCCTGCGCAGAGTCCGGCAGCGCCTCTGAAGTGAAATGGAAAAGGTAAACGCTGCCGGCGACTCGACACACTCGTAGCCGACAGCAAGGCCGGTGGGCGTAAAGGCCATGGCGTTGATGAGCGTGCCCTCGGTCCGGAGCGTGACAAGCGGCGAAAACTCGCGCGTGGCCGACATGCCGAAGACTTGGACCGCGCCATCAGGCACCGCCACCGCCACCACCCGCTGCCGCGCCACCACGCCGACCTCAAACGAGAGCGGCGACTTGACCGGAACAAGTGCAACCTGCGGCTGGCCAGCCGGGCCATCGGCGAGGAGCTCGCGGAGCGAGAACGCATACAGCCGCGCCGACGGCGGCGAAGTGAGGATGAGAAGCATGTTGAGCTCCGGCAGAAGTGCAATCTGGCCTACCTCAGCCAGATCGGTCACCTTGTGGCACTCGGACGTGTTGCCAGCAGTCTTGTACACGCCGGCAGGCGTGCCAAAGAACAGGATCTCATCGATCGAGTCAAAGCATGAGATGCGGTGTGGGAAAGCGTCGAGCATGGGAAAGAGCTGGAAGATCTGAGGATCAGCAACCGGGAGCGCCTGCAGGAACTGGCGGCCGGTCGACGCAAACTCGTACATGCGCTTCTTCTTGCGCTCAAAGGCCGACGGCGGAAGCTCGTTATAGATGTTGTCGAGGAGCACGGCGCGAGTCCGCTTCTCACGGATCTGGAACTCGGCACCGGCGCACGTCGCCGTCTGCCCGTTAATGCACTTAGAGAGGAGCCAGTCAACAAAGTCCGAGTCGCGCGGGTACTCAACAGCAGCCTCGGGCCCAAACGGTGGGATGCCCGGTCCGTTGGCTGTGGTCACCAGGTACGCGTTGGCGTCGGTCGGCGAGGGCTGGACCACCACAAGCACGTTGGTGTACTGCGACTTCATGGTCTGCACGTCGTACGGCGTCGTTCCGTCCATAAACACAATGACCACAATGTCGTTGCCGATGAATCGCTTCCGCTGAATCCGCTGCTCGTCCGTCGGATCATACTGCAGCAGCGTCGAGACGTGGAACATAATCTGGTGGTCGCCAAACGAGGTGGCGACCGAGGTGAGGCCCGAACCGTTGTTGCGGGTGTCCAGCTGCGCGGCGTATCCCTTGAAGCCCTGCAGCGTCACGCGCTCGCCGAGCAGGTCGAGAAACTCCTCAAAAGCCTCCGACCCGTTGCGGTTCGAGAACATCTCGTTCTCGTCGGTCTGCCCGTGCTTGGCAAACAGCACGCCAATCTTCATCGTCAGTTGCGGTTCGTCGCCGTTCTCCACAGACACCAGCGCAGCCTCGAGGCCTGGCGCCGGGTACACCACCTTGGAAAAGAGCTTGTAGCCGCGTGCGTAGATCGCTGGCGCCACACGCTGCAGCAGCTCCGGGAACCGCAGCGAAGTGTTGGACGCCACAGACACAATCCGCCGCACAATCGCGTCCTTGCTCCACACAATGACCCAGTACTGGTTACCGAGGCCTGGAATCGTCGTCAACATCGTCGAGACAATGACAACCGAGCCACGGAAGGCCTCTGACTTGGCCACAAAGTTGTCGTGGACGTTGCCGGCAAAGAACCGTGCGTACCACCGCGACTCAGACGCCGGATTCTCCACGTACGCCGTGAACAAGTCCGATTTGGTGTACACCCGCTTGGTTGGCACGTCGCGGGCCCAGGTGACGGTTCCGGTCACCAAAGGCGCCCCCCTCGGGTCGTAGTACTCAGGCTCGGCCTGCCCACTCCTGCCCTCGTCCAGCAGCGGAATGTGCTGCGTCCCCGATGTGTGTCGCGTGTCAGGCGGGTTCCATCCAGCGAGCTCCCGCGACGGCCCGCGCTCCACCGCAATGACCTTGACTGCAATCGACACCATGCCGCCGCCAACAGAGCCGAGCCAGACCGACGACCGCATCAGCTTGCCCATCCGCGGCAGCGGAATGGCAATCTCCCCCAGCACCGCCACCATCGCGCCTGGTCCAGGCCCGCCCAAGCTCCCAGTCAGCCGCCGCGATCCGCCCGAGTCGAGCGAAAACGACGCCGACCGCCCTTCCGAAGATGCCACCGCCGCCAGCGGCGACGAGCTCTTGAGCGCAAGCGAAGCCCGCGCAGAGAGCGGTGCAGAGGTCAGCCCCAGAACCTCGACGCTCACGTCTGCAGAGTTGAGCATCGGCCCACGCTCGAGTGCAAAGACAAAGGCCTCTCCAAAGGTTACATTGGCCTCTACAGGCCGCGCTCGCGTCCGCTGCAGCAGCGGACCCACCCTCACGTTGGCCAGTAACGCCACCGCGGTCTCGGCCACCACCTGTGTCGCCTCTCCCACTGCCGTGCATGCCGTCGCCCTTGCTGTGAGTCACCACCCTCCACCCTGTGCCCCCTGGCCTCCCGTCCGCGTTCTGTGCGCAGCTGCCTGTTTCTTCGCCACCACCTCCCACCCCCCCCCCCCTCCCTCCCCCCCCCCCCCCCCTCCCGCACACCGGTCGCCCCAAACCCTATGCCACCGCGCCATACCATGGACATAGACCAACGCCATGCTGCACCGGGCAATGGAGAAGGAGAGAGAGGCGGTGGGGAACGACAAATTGTAGGCGCGAGCAAGGTGGGTGTGAGCGTGAGCGTGAGCGTGGGACGACGAGCGGCGTGCCAGCCAGCCAGGCCATTCTGTGGGGGGGCTGGAGCCTGCCGATGGCTAACACTTTGTGACCGCAAGAGGCCAACACTGCTTGGTGGCACATGCATCGTTGAGGAAAAAGGATGGCGTGAGAAAGACTCGCCTCAAGCCGCTGCCGCCGCTCCAAGCAGCTGTGGTAGTCTGGCCAGGCAGGATTTGGCCGAATTGGGTTGGCCGACGCCTGTGCTCGGGTGGCGTTGGTGGCAACAACAACACCAGTGCCCGACGCAAAAACCCAGCGCGTTGCGCCGCATGGCACAAGTTTGCGGGAGTGGTGAGGCGAGAAACGGAACAAGAAACGAATGAGGTTGGCGGTGACAGCGAAACGGCGCTTGGGTGGCAGCGGGGAGGGAGGGGGGCAAGGCGAAGAGCAGGAAGCACCCGTCTTCTGCAAAGCAGGTTGTTACAAGTGGAGACGGAAAATGCACACGACATTCTTGGGCTTCACACTGGTGCCGCTCATGGCGAGCCTAGGGTGGTTCGTGACCCGCAGGATGGCGGGCGAGTCTGTGGTGGATGAAAATGGGAAGAACAGGCGGGCGGTGGCTACAGCCAACACTCGTGCCAAGCGGGCGCTGATCGCGGCAACTATTCTGGTCCTCATTGCGCTACTGCTGCCCGGAAGAAGCTCGCGAAGGTCCGCTGACGAGCAGGCCAGTGAGCGGCGGGTGATGCAGCCCGGCGACAAGCTGGACATGGTGTCGCGGTCGCGCCAGCTCTCCGACTCAGACAGTTTTGTCGAGTCGGTCACGTCTGTGCTTGGCAGATCGTCCAAGCGGTCTAAGTACAATGGCCTACTGTACACATGGTCGGATACCAAGTCGCTGGACACGTTTCGGCAGTGGGCCTTTATCAAAGAGTGCTACGCGGCCAACTACGGGTACGAGTCGTTGTGGGATACGACGCCAGCGGACGTGCTCGAGTACGAGATTTCGGTTCTTGGACTCCGCAACAACATCCTAAGCCTGTTTGGCCTCCCGGTCTCCGAGTCGCCGTACTCTGCCTTTGACTTTATTCCGGATGAGGTGCTGTATTCGTACGACGACACGTTCTTCGCGTCGTCGAACGTGCTCCTTCTCCTCGGCCTCATTGACGAGACCGGTACCAAGCACATCCAGGGCAATGCGCCGATGATGAAAAAGGTGCACGTGCACTTGCAAGAGGTGCGCGACCAGATTTCCAAGCACGACCCGCTGCCCTCGCTGCTCAGCAATTTTGTGGTGTCGGTGATGAGGGCGGGCACGGGCCCGGCGAACACCCGCTCAGTAGAGGCAATGGCAAAGGTCATCCTTGACGAGGGCCCATCGGTAATCAAGGAACTCCATTCGTACAGGCACATTGCCACCCGCGTCCAGCAGAACATCAAGTCGGCCATGGAAGTGGTCTTCTCCGCCATCGACAGCAAACTTGCCGACGCCAAGGGCGAGCAGGCCTACGTCCTCGCCCACGTCCGCAGTCTCATCGAGGACAACCTTGAGCAGCTGAAGAGCCTCATGATACAGCGGGCCAACCGAGTTGTTGCCCTCGGCAACTTGCTGATCGAGCCCAAGTTCAAGGCTAAGACCGACGAGGTTGATGAGCTCAGCACCGGGTCGGCCAAGGGAGACCTTGGGTGGTACAATCTTGGTCCGCAGTGGTCAACCCTCTCCAACATGTTCAAGTTTTTCGAGCGGGACAACCTCGATTTTGTGTGGATGACCGGCGGTGACCAGTACCTGCAGCGGACCGACGTCGACATTGCCGATTTTCTCGACCTCGCTCCGGACAAGGACATCATCATCATGGACGAGCCGCATTGGCCGCAGCAGCGGTCCATGTCGTACGGATTTGGCGGTATGGTCTTCCGCAACACCCCGTGGGCCCGCGCTTTTATCGCTCGCATGTTCGCCAAGCGTTGGCGCTTCCTGGTGTGGGACGACAACTCAGCGCTGACCGAGACCATCCTGGAGGTGTTTGGTGAGGAGGCCGAAGCCCGTGGCGAGAAGGGCTATGACGGCGAGTGTATGTCGCTTTGTGAGCTCGACAAGCCGTACGGCATGAGCACCGACTTTTCCAAGTTCGCCGTCGGCTCACCCATAGTCAACGCCTATTCAAGCTGCTTCTTCGACAACCTCGACCGCCTCGCAGGCCCTTATGGCAAGCGTGGACCCAAGTCCAAGCTCAAGCTCCACAACATGCTCGAGAACTCACTCAATCTCAACTGCTGGTCGGCCCTCACTGGGGATCCACGCATGGATCTCTCATGGTGCATGACGGTTCACTTTAATGGGCTCGGCTCTAAGCGAGCCCCGCTCGTCAACTCGCTTGGCCTCTGCAACAACATCACCGCCCACTCGACCTCATGCTTTGACTACCAGTACATGCCCGTCACGGAGTGCTACAAGTACTGGGCATGAGCCGTCTGGTCTCGCTCGTCAGAACAACAGAACAACAGAACAACAGAACAACAACAAAGGAGCCACCCTTTTTGCGCGTTCATGCAACACAACAAAGCATCCAAGCCCGTGCCTCATAGCCCCCTCCCGTACCGTTCCCGTGGCCTTGCGCTTCCATCGCCGCTCTGCCGGGTCACACCGCGCCGCACCAAGCTCCGCACTCCAGTCAACGTAGAAAAAGGAGCCGGTCACGTTTTCAGCCTCGACAACCTTTGTCTCCCAAAAGCACCTGACGCCAAGCCAAACACGTCAGCCATGTCCGCCTCTGCCTCCGCCTCGCCACTCCCGCCACCGCCGGGCTCACTCATTCTCGTCACAGGAGCCAATGGCTTCCTCGCTACCCACGTCGTCGCCGACCTCCTTGCCTCCGGCTACTCGGTCCGTGGCACCCTCCGCCCGTCGAGCCTGGCCAACGAGTCCAAGACGGCCCACCTCCGTGCGCTCGCCGACAAGTACCCCGAGCTCACGCTCGAGCTTGTGCCGGCCGAGCTCGACGACGTCGAGGCGTTGACTGCCGCCGCGGCAGGCACTGCTGCAGTCATGCACACGGCCTCGCCGTACGTGCTCGATGTCAACGATCCCGTCGAGGAGCTGCTCCGGCCGGCGGTCATGGGCACGTACAACACCCTCGCCGCCGCCGCTGCCTCGCCCTCGGTCGCCCGTGTCGTTCTCACCTCGTCGATGGCGGCGGTGACCGACTCACCCGACAATGGCCACGTCTACACCGAGACCGACTGGAACGTCAAGTCGACCGTTGCGCGCAACCCGTACTACGCCTCCAAGGCTCTCGCCGAGAAAGAGGCCTGGAAGTTTGTCGGCTCACCCATTCCGCTGCCTGACCTGCCCACCGACGGTCTTATCGAGACGCCGCCACCACCGGCGGCCGTCAACTTTGACCTCGTTGTCATCAACCCGTTTGTCATTGTCGGGCCCGAGCCGAGCCCTGCAGTCAACACCTCTAACGGCATCCTGCGCGATATCATGGACGGCAAGTATCCCGCAACCATGGATCTCAACTGGTGCTTTGTCCATGTCCACGACGTCGCCCATGCCCACACGCTTGCACTGACCAACCCGGCCGCCCAGGGCCGCTACCTCACCGCGCACGATGCCATTTCCATGGCCGACACCGTCGCCCTACTCAAGACAAAGTACCCGGACCATCCGCTGCCCAAGCGCGACCTCTCGTGCAAGATCGGAACCGGCCTCACCAAGATGGCGTCATACTTTCAGCCAAAGGCTGTTGGCTCTTACCTCCGCACCAACCTTTCCAAGGTCTGCCACCTCGACAACACCAAGGTCCGCGAGCTCGGCCTCGAGTTTACCCCAGTCAACGAGACCATCGTCAGCGCCGTCGAAGATCTGCGGACTAACGCCAAGCTCAAGGTCGAGGTCGCTACTGTGACTGATGGCGTGCCATCGCTCCCCTCCTAGTCATGAATGCCATTGACATGGCCTTCCTTCCCTCCCTCACGTTCAGTTTCCCGACCACACACTGCGCAACCCAGTAACCGCGCCCGATCGACTATCAGTACCACATATCATACCATTTCTTTCATCCCCAGACCCATTCCCTGCCCCGCAATTGCAGCCGATACGTTTCATCCCTCTTCACCCTCGGACACGTCTGGTCGGCCACAAGCGGCGCCTGCTCGTTCGTCCCGCCACCCCACCCTTTCCCCGTGCGCCGCGTCCCGCCCTCGCCCGCATGGCCTCTGGAAGCGGGCAACGGGTTGCGCCACCGTGTGCGCTCTGTTTTGCCGACTACACAGTATGTATGAAGCCGTCTGGCGGTGAGGCATGCGACCGGTGCGCCTCCGCGGGCACGCAGTGCATGCTCGCGCCGGATGAGCTCTCAGCTCGCGTCGAGCTCCGGGCGGCCGCCGACGCCGCCCGCGGTGCGAGGCGATCAGAGGCTGCGGGACGAGTGCTTAGCTTTTTGAACAGGCTAGAGCGGGCGTCCGAGGACCAGGCAGCGAACCCATCGTGGTCCGGATGGGCGCCGGCTATCTCCCATCCAGTCCTTCGCCCGCTCTTTCTCGACTCGCACCGCAACATCCCGGACGAGGCCATCGTCGCCGCCCTTGCCTCCACTGCCGACCGAGGCATCCAGAAAGATGTGGCGAGAGCCGGCTACGTTGTTCCGGCCGAGCAGGACAGTACCGTTCGGCTGCACGCTGTCGCCATAGATTGTGTGGCGTCTGTCATCCGCAGGGCGCTTGGCGTCGCCACCAAGGACGACGACCGCGAGCGCACGCTTCTGCGCGCGAGGCGAATGGCGCGCGCGGTGATTGCCGAGTGGGAAAGCCGACTTCCGGGCGTCTTTGTGTCGTTCCATGCCTCCCTCGCGTCCATGGAGCTTGCTGCACGGCTGGCCGCCCGTCCGCTGTCTGCTGCTGCGCTTCGGGCTGTCATCCTCATCCCCGAGCTCCGAGCGCTAGCGCTCATCGCAAGGAACCCGTTGCATGCACTGAGCCGTGCCACGGGCGTTCCTGTGGAAGTTTTTGCCACTCGGGTGTTCCTCTTTCTCCTTCCCGACTACGAGGTGCCCGACGCCATTCTTCCGCCGTGGTACAAGCCACGCCATATCGAGATCGCGATCTCCGCGCTGGGTACCCGCATCGCCGACGTCATTGCCTTTAGCGCCAACGCGAGGAGTAGTAGCTCGGCCGCGGCAAGCGCTTCGTTCTCTTCGACTATGATCCCGGCACCGCTGTGGTGGATGCAGGACGCAGCAAGACCGTCGCTCTCGCTTGAGAGCCAGCGGATGGCCTTTGTCCACAAGTTGGAGCACTTTACCGACTCTGCAGCAAATCAGCGGCATGGTGCATGACCATGGGGATGGGCTCTGGTGGAAGCATGTCGGCGCTCTGCACCGCAAGTGCCACTACTGATGCACCATAGTCGCCGACAAGCTCATCGTCTGTCGGCAGTGCGCCAACGGCAAACGCCCAACCGTCGGCAACCTTGCCGGAGAGAGTGATGCTCAGTTGCAGTGGCTCGACGACACCACGTGTCAGCTCCATATCAGCTAATACGCCACCGTCGGCCAAGGCGACGTCAATGTTGGCCAGACCGTAGGCCAGACCGTCGCCGAGCGCCTTGACAATCGCCTCCTTGACCGCCCAGGTAATGAAGAAGGTCTTGACTCTTGCCCGCCAGCCTAGCTTTGGCGAGCGGAGCGCAGCGCGCTCGGCAGGCGTCAACACCGATGCAAAGTCGGTCAGGTACGTCTCGACAGCGCTCAGTGCGTCTGTCTCCGAGGCGTTACAATCGAGGCCGCGGACTGCGAGCGTGACAACATCAATGCCGACTCGCGCATCGGGTGCATCCGACCCACACCCGATCGCAGCGCCGACGACCCACCTGCCGTGATGGGAGATGTTGGCGTCGACGCCGGGCGCCGGATCAGCCAGCTGCGGCCGGCCGCGCTCAGTTCGATGCAGCACCAGATCCAGGCCACAAGGATCGGCCTCGTTCCCAGCCAGCACCGTGGCCAGCAGCAGGCGCAGCAGCAGACGGCCACAAGCCGATGCCCGGGCGTCACGAGGAAAGACAAAGCGTGCAATACGGGCGGCCTCTATGGGGTCGAGGGCGGCGGTGACAGCGACCCATGTGTGAGGCGAGGGCTCCCAGCCTGTGCAGTCGACGGCGTGGAGGAGGAGGAGGGGGAGGGGGAGGGGAGCTTGAGCAGCCATGAGAAGGGAGGGGGGGGGGGGGGGAGAGAGCGGTGGCAGAGACGCACACTTCGCTCTGACCAGTCGGCGGGGAGGAGAGACACAGGAGAGACAGAAGAGGCCTGGCTGGTTGCTGGTGCGTGGTTGTTGCTGTTGGCTGGTGGCTGGTTGCTGTTGACTGGTGGCTGGTGGCTGTGGCCTGCTGTCTGCTGTCTGCTGTCTGCTGTCTGCTGTCTTGCTCATGGCCGAGAGCGAGAGCGAGGGCCAGCGGCTGGAAGCTGCCCTGGGCATGGTGGACAACGTCATGGAAGAACTTCGCCAGGTGACCGTCACTGTCGAGGAGTTCCAGGGAGAGGGCTCGCAGATGGCTTTGAATGCGCGGATGTAGGTTGGGAAATGACGATGGTGGGGGAGGGGGAGGGGGAGAGGGGGGAGGGGGGGAGACGGGAGGAGGGGGAAGGGGGCGGGGCGATCTGCAAGTGCCTTCGCTTTCGCGGCTACAGCTACAGCTGCCGCCTTCCACTCACATCTTCTACTTCTCCCTCTACTACTGGACAGCAATTCGATCATTCAACTGTACGCAGACATCGATACCGCAGCAGCAGAGCTGACGTCCACCGTCCCGCGCCAAGTCGTCCACTACGTCGATCACGGCCTGGCCACCGACGCGTTCTCGACTGCCAATCTCAACAAGCTCAAGGAGCTCAACACCAAGGTCCACGGCGAGGTTGTTGCCCTCGATGCCTTTGCCTCAGCACTGCATGACGCCCTGGCGGCAAGTGGGCAGCTACCGCCGGACGATGCTGCAGACCGCGTCTCTGCTGCCGACGACGCCGCATAAAGGGACCATCGGCCGCACTTACATCCGCTTGCGGCGCGCATCGGAATCATCGTCAAGGTATGCCAGGTATGCATACACCGCAATGACAGCGTTGACGGACACCACCGCCGCCAGCCCGCCATAGAGGGTGGCGTCCGAGTCGGTGATGTCTGGAACCATTGCCGGCAGCACGCCGTACCGCACCGCATACAGCACACCCAGTGGGACCACAACCATGGCTGCAGACGTGGTCAGCAGCCGCCGCACCACAGGTGCATTGTCCGGTTCGCTATGCTTCCTCGGTCCGTCCCGCCCACACGCCGCCCACGCCACGTCCGCCGCCGGTGTGAGCACCACACACACACACACACACACACACACACACACACACACACACACACACACACACACACACACATAACATAACATCACATAATATCACACTACCTGCCCAACTTACTCAAGGATGCGCTTGATGCCCTCCCCAAAGCTCGGCTTCTCGCTCGGCTTCTCGCTCGACGCGGGTTCACTTGCCGCGCTGCTCATGAGTGCAGTGTGGCCGCGCCAGCTGTCTCGCCGGGGGGCTGGCCGGCGGTCGACGCCGCCTCGTGCCTGGCGCTATCGTCTATGGCAGGCTGGACCGCACCCAGAGGCGGGGCAAGGGCAAATATCCGGTCAAGGATCCGCGACGGGAGAACTCCGGCTAGCGAGTCGCGGGTGAGTCTCAGGTCCTGGGCAGCGCAAGCGACGGCGGTGGTCGCCAGCGCTTCGAGCGACGGCACCCCAATCTGGACGACCGAGACCTTGTTGGTCCGGCGGAGCGACGACTGATTGTTGCCATCGTTGTCAAGGCAGCCACCAAACAGAACCAGCCGCTGAGTATACGAATCGTAAACCGACGAGTGAAAGTAGGTCGGCGGCGGGAGACCGGGGCCGGTGGGGATGTGGATGGCGCCGTGGATCCGAGCGCGGCTCGCGTCGTCAAGGGTGGGCGCAGGGCCGGGAGAGGCAGCGTCATAGGCAGCGTCGACAGCACCAGCTGTAAACGAGGCGGCAGCGCCTTGACCAGAGCCGGGGGGCGTCATCGGACCAAAGCCTCCCGGAGCCACGGCATCGAGCAAGCCCTGGACGTTGTTGAGAACACTTTCGTCACCTTCAAACGAGCCGGCCGACTCGGAGTACTCGTCGTACTCATCCGAGCCGGCGTCGTCGCTCTCATCGTCATCTGTGCCGTACTCATAGTCGTATTCGCCCAAACCGTCGTCGAGGTCATCGTCGAGAACAAGGGCTGCGACGCCGGGCTCGCCGTCGGCGGCCGGCTCGGGTTCGGGCAGCGTTGAAGGCGCAATGAGACAGGACCAAGCGCCGGTCGCCAGATCCAGCTGCCACAGGTCGTCGAGAACGACGGAGCCGGTAGTGCCACCATACATGTATCCGACGTTGCGGACTGAATCGTACGACAGCGAGTGACACCGCCGTGGCATCGGCTGCTGCGGCCGCGTCGGGTTAGACGGGCTGGCAACCTCGTCGTCGGTCGGCAGACCTCGCCCGGTCAGACTCGGGGGGACGATGCGCCGCCACTCACGGGTGGCAAACTCGTACGTGTACATAGAGATGGCGACCGGGACGGACGTCGGAACTTGGAAGAACGTCTCCATGATGTCGTCCTCGTCGATGCTCCACCCAAAGCGTCGACGGAAGGATGGCGGCATGTCAATGTCGGAGAGGCGGAGAAAGACGAGAGGTGAGACGGCACCACCGCCGACAATCCACATGTGAGTGTGGGTGGCAATGGCTGCAGCACGATAACGGCCGTGTGGTGCACAGGGTGGAACCGGCTGGCCTGCAGCCATGGCGGCCAACGGGTCGGCGCCGCGGTACGGTGGAACCAGCATCTGAATGGTCGACGCCGCGGCGTCGAGGCAGTAGAGGTTGGAGAAAAAGTTGCGGCCCGAAGTTCCGCCAAACAAATACAACTCGAGAGTGTCCGGGCGAAGGACCAAGGTCGAGCCGTAGCTCGGCTCGGGCGCCAGCGGCTCGCGGGCGACGCCGTCAAGCCCGGGGTACGGCGGATCGGCTTCGATGGGCACCAGTGGCGTCAGTGCCACCGAGCGCCACATCATGCGGTCGTGGCTCGAGTCTGGCCGGAGCATGGCCGCCAGCGAAACGGCATGAAAGGCTGCCGACGACGACAGGCCAAAGTCGACGTCCGAGCCACCAAACGAGAGCAAGATGGCGCCGTCCAGCACCGAGGTGTGCGAGATGAGTGACGATGGCGCAGGGTCGTCGCTCTCATCTTCCATCCAGTAGCGCACCGGCCGGGCATCGCGACCAGCCTCGGCCTCGGCCGATGCCGCTGCAGCTTCGCTGAGAGCGGTCTGCAGCTCGTTGTTGGCGGCCAGGCCCGCGGCGCCGGCGTTAAGGATGTGGGCGAGGAGGTCCGGGAGCATGTTGTTGAAGCCATGTCCTCCAGCCACAGGCGCTCCTGTGGTGGGGGGCGGAGCGGAGGAGCCTGGCGAGGATGCTTCCGGTGAGCGCGGCTTGTCTGCGCCGGCTGCCACCTCCCACTCGACGGTGTGGACCGAGAGACAATGGAGGTCGGTGAAGCGGACCCGCGGCGGGCGGTAGCCACCGAGAACGACCATGACGCCCGACTGCGGGTCAAATTGTGCCGAGTGGCCTGAGCGCCGCGACGGAGTCCGGGCCGCCATGGAGAGGGGGGAGGGGGGAGGGGGAGAGGAGTGGGGTCCTGCCTGCCGGGTGAGCGCTCGGAGTCGACGACGGCGGTGAAGGCGAGTGCCGGACATGGGTGACGGCGGCAAAGAGACGGACGCGGCTCGAGACGACGAATGTCAAGCGATTTACTTGCGGTTGGACTTGGCCTTCTTGCCCTTGCCCTTACCCTTGCCCTTGCCCTGATTCTGGCTGTTGCCGGTGACGTAGTCAACCTTGGCGTTGAGCGGGAGCGAGGAGAGGTTGACGCCGGCGGCGGCGGCGCGGGTGAGGAACTCGATGGACTCGGCGTCGGTGAGCGAGTCGACCTCGCCGGCGTCGATCTTGGCGATGGAGGCCTCGATGGCGCGGCGCTCCGAATCCTGCTTCTGGGCGCGGTCGATGTGGTGGCGGAGGCAGGTGGCGATAAAGTTACGCGACTCGATGACAACCTGGTGCTCCTGCGGGAACATGCTGCGGATGATGTCGTGGCGGGCGCGCTCGAGCTTGGCGGCCTGGTCGAACTGGCCGCAGCCCTGGTAGGCCTGGGCGAGGATGCGGATGGGGTCAGCGAGGACGCGTGCGCCGCCGCCAAAGATGGACTCGTAGATGAAGAGGGCATTGGTGGCGTAGATGCGTGCGACCTGCGGGAGCTGGAGGTCGAGGAGGGCCGACGCGAGGGCCTGGTCGATGTCGGCGAGATTGACCGAGGGGATCGAAGTGACGACTTCCAGGATGTTGCGGGCGCGCAGCAGGTACTTGAAGGCCTCGAGCGGCTTCTTGAGGGCGTGGGCGACCGAGCCGAGGATGTGGTAGGCGCGGGCGGTGACATCCGAGGCGACGCCGGTGACCCGCTCGGCGATGACAACCGACTTGCGGGCAAGGTGAACAGCCGAGACGGCCTCACCGGCCTGGAGCTCGATCATGGCCAGGAGGGTGAAGCAGCGCGCCATGTCCTCACTCAGCAGCGAGCCGGTGCGGCGGAGGCAGACGTCCTGGACGAGGCGAAGGTAGCGGACGGCGAGCTCGGGCTTGCCATGCTGGAGCGCCTTGGTGGCACGGTCGAGGGTGTCGTTGGTTGTGGCGGTGTCACGGTTAAAGTAGACGCGCGGCTGGAGGTCGAGGATGTGGGCGGGGGTGAACGGCACGCGCTCCTTGATAGCGAGCGGGGCAGCGGCGTTGAGCTGCAGGCCGGTCTTCTCGCAGAACGAACGGAGCGAGTCAAAGGCATTCTCGCCGGACCAAGTGTCGTTAGAGAGGATGTACGCCGGCGAGTCGTCGCCCTCGGCAGGCGCCGGGAACAGCTCGACGCCAAAGTGGGCGACGCCGCGGGCGTTGAGGAGCTCCCAGAGCGAGGTGCGCGTGAGCTCACCCATAAAGACGACGTCGTCCAGGGAGACGGTCTTGCCGTGAGCGAGCGCGAGGCGGCGGGCGGCGGCGGCGCGGGTGGCGGCGCGGGCCTTGCGGACCATGACCGGAGCATCGTCAGCGGAGAGCGACGAGGTCGAGAAGAGGCAGTTGAGGAAGTGGGCGGTAGAGGCGCCGAGAACGTGAGCGGGGACGTCGCGGACGAGGACGTTGTAGACGTCGGCAGCGACGGTGACGACCATCTCGGTGGTGACGAGCTTGACGGCGACTGCGGCCTGGGTCGGGATGCGGGCACGGACGCGGCCGAGGTATCGCGGCTGCAAGCCGTAGTCGGCCATCATGTCGGCGAGGGCGACCGCGTTCGACGGACGCTCGACCGAGAGCAGCTTCTTAACAACGGTCGGAACGACCTGATCGTTGACAAAGGCGCCGAGAGCCTCCAGGTTGGCCTTGTCGGCCTCGATAAGCTCGGCGTCGGCGTCGGGGAACGAGACCGAGCGGAAGAGGTTGACGTTGAACAGCATTGGCTCGAGCGGCTCAAACTCGGGCAGCTCGGCGGAAGGCTCGCCAGTGGGCTCGCCGGCCTCGGGCGCGGGCGCGTCGGCGGCGGCCTTGGCCTCGGCGGCAGCCTTGGCTTCAGCAACAGCGTCGCCGGCAGCAGGGGCGACTTCGGCGTTGTCGGCCGCAGGCGCATTGGGGTCGGCGTCGGCAGGCGCGTCAGCGTCGCCGGCAGCGGCCGAGCGGGCGGCAACGTGCTTGCGGGTGTACTCGATTCGGTGCTGGAGGGTGCGCGAGGCGAGGAACATGTGGAGGGCCTTGGGTGTGTGGACGATGTTGGAGTTGGCCGTGTTGTCGAGCCAGTTTGTGTCGCGTGGCAGGGCGCCGCCAAGGTCGATGATGTAGTAGCGGCCGTCGGTGCCCTTGATGCCCTTTGTCTCGAGCGAGGCCGAAGTGGTGACGGTCTCGCCGGCGCCGTCGACAACAGAGCGCGCGGCAATGTGGAGCTTTTCGGCGGCGTCGTTCATCTTGGCGATAAACTCGTCGTCGCGCCAGGCAAACGGCTGCGACGGCTCAGTCGAGCCGCAGAGGAGCTTGTCGGACCAGTCGCCGGTAAAGACGCCCGGAATGATGGTCTGGGCGACAACGAGGTGGCCGCGGAAGCGAATGACAACCGTGCCGACAGTGTGGAGGCCGTCGGGGACGGCGGCGGTGTAGAGGCGGACGGCGGCGAGGTCGTTGAAGGCCTGCTCGGCCTCGACGTCGTCGTTGACAATGGCGTCACGGGTGGCGGCCATGGTGCGGCCCGGCAGCTGGTAGAAGATCTTGCCGAGGAGGAAAAGGTGCTTGTGCGGCGGCTCGGTTGGGTTGAGCGGCGGAAGCGAGTTGAGGTTGAAAACGATGGTCTTGGCGCCGAGGGTAGCGGCCTCGACAAAGTCGGCGAGGGCGCGCGAGTACATGACGTCCTGCATGACGGCAGCCTCGGTGGAGCCGGCAGCCATGCCGGGCTGCGGCGAGCGGGCGACCTGGAACTCCTCGTTCCAGTCGCGGATCTGGCCGGCGGCAAAGTCGTTGACGCTCTTGTTGAGCTGCTCGTCGGCCCGGGTCGGGTCAAAAGTGTGCTCGGCCGGGCGGGCGGTCCACGAGAAGGTGGGGTACGGGGCAAGTCCGGACTCGAGGACGAGCTGACCCTCGGTGATGCGGGTGTTGTAGAGGGCACGGAAGGAGGACGAGATCGAGCTGAGGAGCTCAAAGAGCGAGTGGGCCTGACCGGAGCGGGGACCCTTGATCGGTTCGGGGTCAAAGGCCATACGCGAGGAGCCGTTAATGTAGAAACCGAACGGGTTGGCGGTGACGTGGACGACAGCCTCGGGCGTCGTCACCTCGAGGTAGAACAGATCGCCCTGCATGGCGCGGCTCTGCGGCGGAGGGTTGTAGCCAGACATAGCGATGTAGGTCGAGGTCTTGGCACGCTTCATGGCAAGCTCCGAGGCCTTGCCCTTTCCCTTGCCCTTGCCCTTGCCCTTGCCCTTGCCCTTGCCCTTACCCTTGCCCTTGTTGGTCGACGTGGGAATGCCAGCAGCAGCGGCCGACTCGAACAGCTTGGCGAGCTTAGTGGCGCGCCGCTTCTCCTCATCGCCCTCAGTCCCGGTCACCACCGGCTCGAGCGCCTTGGAGAGGTTGAACGAGGCGTCAAGCGCAGCAAGGACCGATGGCGAGCCGACCTTGAGCGAGGCCGGCGACGACGAGAGCGACGAGCCGGCAAAGAGCGAAGGCCAAACTCGTCGAGCGGGGCCATTAGGTCGTAGACGCGCTTGACATGGGCGAGCGCCGAGACCTGGTCGTACAGGTCCTCGACAATGACCACCGTCGACGGCGCATCGGCGTCGCACGAGACGCCCAGCTCGCTCAGCGGTGTGTACGGGAGGAGCGGCACGCCGTCGAGCTCAAAGACAAAGCACGTCAGGTGGCCGAGGGCCGCCACATGCTCGACCGTCCCGTGCAGGTCGAGGACCATCGACGCCGCAGGCAGCTGGAGGTTGGTCAGGACCAGGTTCGAGCGGTACTCGATGTTGATGTGGCACATGGCCGGCGCCGGTGCGATCGCAGCCGCGGCTGCTGCAGCCGCAGCGGCAGCGGCAGGTGCCGCCTCGTCGGCGGGCGTCACCTGCGGGGATGAAGCGTTGGGCTTGGCAGCGTCGCCCTCCATCTGGGTGCGGACATGGCAAAGGGGCGGGTGAGGCAGGAGGGGAGGCGACGGAGGGGTACATCGGGAATGGGGGGAGGTCGAGCAGAGTGTACGGCCGTGGAAGAGGGAGCCGGGGGCGGGAAGGATGCGTGGGCCACCATCACTAAACCCTGCAGCTGTGGTCAGGGGGATGGGCGTGCTCATCCTGTGACGCGGCAAGGGTGCAGGAGGCAGACAAGGGGAGAGGAAGGGAAGGGGGGGGGGGCCGGGGAGGGGGGGGGGGGGGGGGGCATGGAGGGATTTGCGGGATGGTGCGTACTGTAGTAACTAGAGAAACGTGCGCAGGTTACAAGAGAGGTGATGTGCAAGTTTGATGCTGATGGGTGGGGTGGGGGTGGTGGCGGGTAGTGCCGGCGGGTAGCGGGTGGTGGCGGGTGGCGGACAGTGGTGCGGCTGACGGGGCGAGAGAACTCGAGAGGCACAAGTTCGGCCTGATGACCCTGGATCACTCCTGAAGAAGGCTAGGCAGTCTTCATGAGCTCGGCGATGTCCTCAAAGTTCTGGGCCACGTCCATGAACTGGGCGATGGAGAGCTCGCAGGCGCGCGAGGTGATGACACCGTCGGCGTCGGCGACTCGGACAAGGAGAGTAACGAACGGGGTGTTGAGCGAGGAGCAGGTAGAGGAGGCAACCGAGACGCCGACCTTCCAGTCGAGGGAGAGCAGCTCGCCGACGTGGATCTCCTTGGCGGTGGCGTCGGTGAGGAGGACCTCGGCCTGCTCGGCCCAGACCTTGACGATGACCGTGATGACCGACTTGATGAGGCCGGTAAACATGAGGAGGGCCTGGCCAAACTTGTTGGGCTTGAGGCGGGCCTTGATGACTCCGGTCATGAGGTAGATCATGGCGTTGATGGCATGCTGGCACTCGTCGACCGCAATGTCCACGCCTTCGGCGCGCAGGGCATCGTGGTACTTTTTGGCCGAGACCACGCCTGCGTTGTAACGGAGGTAGCGGACAACCTCGGTGGTCTATGCAAGATGAAAGGGTGAGGATGGTGGAAGGGGGGCGGGGGGGGGGGAGGGAGGGGAAAGGGCTTACCAGCTGCTCGACGTAGAGGACGGGGAACTCGTTGAGGACGTCACAGGCGGGGACAAAGCCTATCGGATGACGGGGAGGAGGAGTGAGTGTGATGGGGGGAATGAGGAGGGGAGGGGCTGCTTCCTTGCCTGGCGTGACTTACCCTCGGGCACCTGCTGAAGGAAGGCCATGCTGTGGGTGCTTGCGTGGGGGAGGCAGGGAGAGAGAGAAAGAAGGTGACGGTGGTGGGTGGGTGGGTGGCCGTAGCGGGGAGGGGCGAGCGGAGGGAGGGGGGTGGGGTGGAGTGAGGGGGGTAATGGTGGCGCGGGGAGTGAGGCGGGGAGAGGGGGAGTGGCCACCGTGTGGCCCGACGCCACGTCGAGATGCCGCCACAAGCACACACACACCACTTCCGGACTCAAACTTGCCCCGACAAGTAGTAGCGGTTGCGACGGAGAATGTCCGGGTGCGGGCTGTATCGGTCGCTGCTGCGAGCAGCGGTGGGGCTGTTTGACGCCCGGGCGCGGATGTATGCGGTGCAGCGGGTGCGGGCGCGGGCACGGGCAGGTGGCGAGGCCGGGCCGCAAGCCCGCGAGGGGCGCAAGGCACTGCGGTATCTGCGCAAGGCTGTGGGCGGCGATGCGCGGGCCAACAAACACATCCTGGCGCTAGCGTACGGAAGCAAGGGCCGGGTGGCGCACCTCGAGGTGCGGCCGACAGACGTGCCGGTCATGGTGGCGACGGGCGCGGCGTTTGCCACGGTCTCGCGGCCGCCGCCGCCGCCACTGCATCCGCTCCTGGCGAAGGCGGCGTGGGGTGACGGTAGGTGGCTGGCGTGCTCAGCGCCGGCCGAGTCGAATCGGCGGCGGAGGCGCATGTACGGTGAGCTGCTGGCTTCCAACAAGCGGCCGCGGGTGGCGTAGCACGCTGTGGGCAAGGAAGGCAAACGAGTTTATCACAGCGGGAGAGAGCGGCGCTCAGCGGCGGTTGATAGCGGAAATGATATCGTTCTTCGCCTTCTCAACCTCGGCCAGGATCTCGGCCTTCATAGCCTCCAGCTCGGCGCGGAACTGCGCAATGAGGTCGCCGTTGTTGCCCGACGCGCCCGACGAGCTCGACGAGCTCGACGACGTCGTCGCCGGCTTGGGCGACGATGTCTTGGGCGACGGCGCCCGCGGCGATGGCGCACCCGACGAGCCGCCGCGAGGCGACGAGCCGCCACGCGGCGACGAGGCGGTCACGTCACTCTTGGACGCGCGCTTCTTGAGCCGGTTCTGCAGCTCGCCAAACATGCCGCCGCCACCGCCGCCCGACGGCGACGGGGCTGCAGCCTTACCAGGCGCAGGCGGCTCGCGGGTCGTCGTCTTCTTCAGCGACTTGCCCTTGCGGATGGCGTCGAGCAGGCCACCGCGCCCGCCGCCTCCGCCGCCTCCACCCGACGGCGCCGAGCGCTTCTGCGGAACCGCGCCGCCCGGCGGCGGGCCAGGCGGCGGTGGCGGCGGCCCACCGCCTCCGGCAGGCGGTGCCGGATTCTTGAGCTTGTTGATCGAATCTACAATGGTGCCGGCAAAAGAGCCGGCCTCGGCTGTGTCCGCAAAGTTGAGCCCGTACGTCACATCGTCGGCTGTAAAGTTGTGGAAGTTGTCCGACGCCTTCTCGTACGAGATCGCCTTGGTGAACGCGACGTGGATGACCAGCTTCTGCTCGCCATCGTACCCGACCATCCGGTACGTGTTTGCTGCCGTGTCATGGTAGTACCCGATGCGTGCCACAGACTACCTCGGTCACCACTCTCGTTGTGAGCTCTGCCTGTGTCGCCTCCCACTGATTTGCAAACAAGAAACTACAACACACGCACAGGCTCCGCCGTCACGCCCTCCTCCCAACCCTTCCAATCGCGACATGCTACACGAGCACAAGCCCTCCAGCACCACCACCACCACCGCTCGCCATGTATATACTCGTAGCAAGCCCATGCCTGCGGCACACCTTGGCTGGCCCCACCACCGGCTGTCCTGCAGGCGGCTCAGGCAACAACAGCAGTTCTCACGAAAAATCGAGCCGCGGCTCGGCACGTGGTCCGAGGGGGCCGGCAAGACGTACCTGCGACACAGGGTCCCACGCGCCAGACGTGGCATTGTGCTTGAAGACCTGGGCGGAAGCCTGCCCGATAACAGACTCGGACATGGCAGAGAGGGGGAGAGGGCTATCGGTGCTCTCGGCCAAAGCCTCTCGACTGCTGTCCGGCTTCCCCCGAATGCGGCCTCCCCCCCCCCCTCCCCCTCGCGTGCTGGTTGGCGACTTGGCAAAGCAAGCGCAAGGCGGTGGTGGAGCAGCCGGGCGCTTCCAATTTCTGGCACTTTTGCTTTGGTTTCCGTTTCCGAACTCGGCCGCGGTACCGAGAAGCAATCAACTCCAGGATGCGGGGGCTTTAAGAAAGCGTTGATCCTCGAGGTGGCGAGCCTAGTTCCGTCGGCAACGACCTCCACTCTTTAGTCTTTCTGCAAGTAGTGGCGGCATCATGGGTGGACTCGCTTCTAAGCGGCGCCGGCGGGCTGCCGGCCCGGTTCCGCTCGACGACGCCGGCGTGCTCACGGTCACCAGCCCGCTCGCGTTTGTTGAGCACATGGCTGCCATCAAGAGTCACAACGCCCGCGAGCTTGCCGCCATTCCATGGAAGCCGTATCCTTCGCTGATGCGGGTGCGCAAGGTCGACGCCGGAGCGGCTGGAGCGAATCTGAGCGACGACGGCATGGCGGCCATGACCGCGGCCTTCCCGCGCGACGCGCGCATCCTCTCGCTCCGCGGATGCAGCCAGCTGAGTGACACCGCGTTGCTGAGTCTGGTGCGGATGCTAGTTGATCGTGACGGCTACGCCCTGCGGGAGCTGGATCTAGTCGATTGCCCTGCGCTCACTCCTCGCGCTGCTGGCTTCCTCGGTCGGATTCCTGGGCTGGTGCGGCTCGCGATCGGCGGCGGCGCGGTGCGTCCGGCGATTGTGCAGGTGCTCGGAGGCTGGGCTGACCTGCGCGAGCTAGACGTGACAGCCTGTCCGCCATCTGTGATGTCCGACGTAGCGCTCAGCGCGTTGAGCCGTTTGCATCTCACGTCGCTAAGGACCGGGGTACTGGAGCAAGTCTCAGCACCCGCTTTGGAGGCGTGGTGCCAGACCCAGCCGCTCCTACGTGTCTTCTGCAGTCCTCAGTCTCGGTGCGTGACCGACAGCGCCATAGCGGCGCTGGTTGAAGGCTCACCGCTCCTCAACGAGATCGATGTCTCTGGCTGCCCGGCACTGAGCGAGGCTGGCCTGCTCACGCTGAGCGGCTTCCCGCGGTTAATGATAGTGCGGGCATGCTCGACGCCAATGAGCGATGCCATTGTCCTTGCGCTCTGCCGTGGCTGTCGAGTCCTCGAAACTGTCGAGCTAGATCAGGATACCGCGCGTAATGCACTCTCGCGCCAAGGAAGAGCCGCACTCGAGAACCTCTGCATCCCCTCACGGCGATGCAACGCCATCATCGACTTGGCGGTAGCAGTGACTGGTATGGCCGATCCGCGAATTAGCACCGCACGCAGGCTTCGTGCCCAAGCAGCGCAGCGCGCAGGTCCGTCGCCACCGCCGCCGCTGCCCGCTCTCCTTCCAGCGTACGGCGATCCACAGCCTCACCCTGAGCGCGAGTCCCAACAACCCCATGCCAGACCACTCTCTCCACCGCCATCTTATCGGGAAGTTGCTGCTGCTGCCGAGCGGCAGGATGCAGAGGGATAAAGTCAAAGTCAGCTTGCATCAACTGCTGCGCAGTCATGGATGGGCAGCAGCATATCAATAGTTCGCTGGAACAGGCACCTGACACAAGCGGAGACGAAAGCCCCCCCTTCCCGGCGCCACACCACGACCTACACCACCCACGTCACTCCCGCTTGCTAGCCCAGTTCCTAGCTCCACTCGCCGGCTTTGTAGCAAGAAGAAAGGGCGGGAAGAGTGCGTAGACATGCTGCAGCGGCGGCCGACACGGTGCTGGGTCGCGCGTGTCAGCGACCGGCAGGCGCACATCGCATGCGTTGCCACCAGCACGTATGCCGACCTCGACGCAGGCATTGGCCACGAGCTAGCCACGCTGGGAAAGACATTTGAGGTTGACATTATGGAGGCCGAGCGGACGTTTGAGGACTACCTGGCCGAGGCGCGCGCGGCGGCCGAGGCGCGCGCGGCAATGTCGGCATTCAAGGGCATGAGCAAGGCACAGCGAGCCGAAGCCGAGGCTGCCGAGCTCGCACGCAAGCGGCTGGCTATTGGCGTGAAGAAGTTCAACAAAAAGCCCAAGCATGGGATGCAGTACTGGGAAGAGGCTGGTCTACTGCCGCACAAGCCCGAGGCGGTTGCGGCGCACCTGCGAAATACCGAAGGCCTGTACAAGACCATGATCGGCGAGTATCTCGGCTCGCCGGACGAGTTCAACCTTGCGGTCCTCGACGCCTTTGTCAACTCGTTTGACATGGCTGGTAAGGACATTGACACAGCGCTGCGAGCGTTTCTGGCCTCGTTCCGGCTGCCGGGCGAGGCTCAGAAGATCGACCGCATGATGGAGGCGTTTGCGCGCAAGTACCACGCCGACAATCCGGAGACGTTCTCGTCGGGCGACACGGTGTACGTCCTCTGCTTTGCGCTCATCATGCTCAACACCGACGCTCACAACCCAGGGGTGAAAAACAAGATGACGCTCGACCAGTTCTTCGCCACCACCCGCGGCATCGACAACGGCAACGACATCGACCACAACCTGTTGGAGGCGCTCTACTCGTCGATTGTCAACAACGAAATCAAGATGGACCCCGACTGCGAGCCGTCGGCGTTTGACAACCCAGACAAGACCGGCTTACTGCGAAAGCAGGGCGGGAGGATCAAGACCTGGAAGAAGCGCTGGTTTCTCCTCTCCGGCTCGTGCCTCTACTACTTTCGCAAGGAAGGCGACGCCGTACCCAAGGGCATCGTCCCGCTGGAGAACCTGCAAACGAACATCACCGGGCCAACAACGTGGGAGCTGACCCATCCCGACGGCGCATTCAAGGCTGCCAAGTTTTCCCGCTCCACCGTGGCAGAGTCGAACCACGACAAGTTTGTGCTCGAGGCCGCGTCGACAGCCGAGCGCGACGAGTGGATCGCCGCTATCCAAACCCACATCATTCGTGATCCGTTTTATGAGCTCCTTCGCTCTAAGCGCCTTGCCCTCACCGAAGAGATTGCTGCCTTTGGTGGTGGCAAGAAGGGCGCTAGCACTGTCATGCTCCGCCGCCGCGCAGCCTCGGAAATGCACAACGACGAGTTTGCCGCCATGGTCGACGAGGCCCGCAACGATGAGTCCGGGCCCGGACCCGAGCCCGAGCAGAAGATGGGCGACAAGGCCAAGGCCGGGGGGGAGGACAAGAACGCTGCCAACAATGCGGTTGGTTTGAGGAGGGAGGATTCTGGCACAGGTGTCGAGGCCGCACCCGACGCCAAGGTACAGCCCAAATCCAAGAGCAAGGAAAAGGACAAAGGGAAGTCCAGGGGGAAGGCCAAGAGGAAGAACAAGCCAAAGAACGGCGTGGTCGACCAGGTCACGTCTGAACCCAGCGCTGATATCGGACCCACAGTTGAGCCTACGCCTGAGCCTACGCCGGAGCCCGAGTCCGAGTCCAAGACAAAGGCCAAGTCAAAGGCCAAGACGAAAGATAAGAACAAGAACAAGAGCAAGAGCAAGAACAAAGGCAAGGTGTAAACGGCAGCTCATGCAACAACCCAGAACCGGAGCCGGCCATCAAACGAGCCTGTGGCGAGCTGCGGATGGACAGGGTTAAAGGCGACAGCGGCGACGACATCCGCGTGGCCGCGGAGCTTGGAGAGCGGTGAGGCCGATGAGCGCAGGTCCCACACGTACGCACACTTGTCTTCCGAGCCCGAGGCCAGATAGCGGCCGCATGGCGAAAAGTCTAGGCCGACACCCATCTTCCGCGCGGTATGGCCCTCAACAACCCGCACCGGTCCAGCCGACGGCAGCCCAAGCGTGCGCAGGTCATAGAGCCCGATCCGCGAGTCTGCCGACGCCACCGCGGTGAGCCAAGGATGCTGCGGGAGACCGAGTCCAGACGATGGGAGCGCCAACGTCTGGATCGTCCGTCGAGTCTCTGCCAGGCCACTCGCCACGACTGCGCCGCCAGCTGCCCAGTCGACAAGGGTGAGCGACTTGTCTGACGCAGCGAGGACCGCATGGGTGCCTGCCAGCTCAACGACACCATTGTGCGCAGGCGCGTGAGCAGCAAGGCCGACAATACCTTGGGCATCGAGTGCCACTGATGCCACAGCCCGCATCGCACCTCTGTCTGCGCGCGGTGTCGGGTTGGCTGTGCTCGGCAACTCAACCTTGTACCGGAGCAGCGCGGCGGTCGCACCCGAAGCCGCGAGAACAAGCCGGGCATCGGCAAAGCCAAAGAACTGCGCGCTGGTCCATGTGGCGTGCGGGCCGACGTCGGAGAGCGCATCGCCCGGCGTAGCACGAACGAGCGGGTCAGTCACACCGGAGAGCGGCGATCCAGCCCAGAGAGCAAGCTCGCGCGACGAGCGAGCGAGAACAAGCGGCGTGGCGAGGCCGGCTGGCGTGAGGCTTGCGCTCGCCATGGGGTACCGTCCAACTGCGTCCAGCACCGATGCGCCGTTGTACTTGGAGACCGGGAGCTTGGTGAGTTTCACCGTGCAGTCAGCTGAGGCCGAGACAAGTACGCTACCAGTCGGTGCGTACTCGAGTGAGGTGATGGCGCTTGCATGGAGCGGCAGCGCCAGGTTGTTCTTGGCCTGTGCTTCCCACGCCATGTCATCGTGTGCAGCAGCAAGGCTGTGGTACCCCGAGTCAGCGCGGAGTTTGGCAAGCGTCTCGCCTTGGACCCGGATCTTCCGCGCAGGAGTGGCTTTTCGCTTGGCCTTGGCACGAGCCGCCTCAGCCGCCTTTGTCCGTCGCGCACTCGAGCCAGAAAACAGTTTGACTTTGGCATGGGTCACGCCATATCCCGAGGTCTTGGGCATAGCAACAGCTTGTCCACGCCCGCGACCGCGCCCGCGTCCACGTCCACGTCCACGACTACGCCCGCGGCCGCGCGCCGGCTTGCTCGCCTTGAGCTTGGTCCGCCCACGCGGGATAAGGAGCGAGCCCATCAGCTCGGGTCGGGAAGCAAAGAGAGCAAGGTCAACTTGCTCCGGCTGTAACACACTCGGCGCATCAAGGCTCTCAGAGGAAAGGAGCCCAAGCGTAGGCAACGGCACAACAGACACCGACGGTGTGGCCAGCGCGCCGACGAGGAGTTGAGGCGTTGGCCCAACGAGTGCAAACGCGCCGGCAAGCGGCATGCTCGCCACGCTCTCAGCGAGCGCATTCGGAAGCAGAAAACCATCGACGGCAGCCACAACAGTGGGGCTCGACGAGAGGGCATCAAGGGAGCAGACCAAGCGCGGCGAACAGAGGAGAAATGACGTGGCAAGTGGGAGGATGGCCAGGACTGGAAGCGTGTCAGCTCCATCGGCCGCGCTTGCCCATCGCGAGGCTTCAGCCGCGCGAGCCAGCTCAATCACTGCTGCGCGTTCGGCATGGATATCGGTCAAGCCAGGAAGCGCCGACGAGGGATCTACCTTCCAACGCGGCTGCGAGGAGATGACAACAGGCTTGGTGGCCAGGTCGCGTTCGGCAGCTTCGACGGCACCGGCCTCGGCAAGGCGACCGGCAAACGATGAGAGCGAGAGAGTGCGAAGTGAGGTAAAGGAAGTGCGCTCAAGCGAGCCACTCCTTGGCAGCTCGAACCGGTAGAGGTGGACGTGCCCCGCAGTCGTGCCGATGGCGACGAGGGCAGCATCTGCCAGCGAGGCGATGGAAGCTAAATCGGCCGAGGCGACGGCATCGCCGACACCGTACGCGTCCAGAACCGGCGATACAAACTCAAAGTCGCGTGTCTCAAGATTCCACACCTTGAATGTACCGTCGGCAGGCGCGACCGAGAACAACAGGTGTTCGGCGCCGGGGAACGCGCCAAACGCGCAGTCGATGACTGGGCCATCGTTACCAACGAGGACGGCGGCCAGTGCCACGCCGGCAAAGCCGGCGTCTGGGAACTTGTAAACACATATGGTGGCACCAAGGACAAGAGCGAGGCGAGAAGCGTCGGGCGCCCACACCAGCGTGCCTGAGCGCGGCAGCGGGTGCGGCAGCGCCGGGAGGCCAAGCGGGGTCTCTGCGATCAGCGACGCCGTCGTCGCCACTACTGCGCCCGAGTCTGGATCTCGAAGGACAACAGCTGACCACCAGCAAAGACTGTCTGTCGACGCTGTGATGATAGTGGGATTGGGCCGGGGATCGGAGCAAAGCTCCGGCGGCGCAAACCCCGCGGCGAGCGCGCCATCGTGGGCCAACCAGGTCGGCGGCGCTTGAGGGTCCCCTAACGCATACAACGCCGCCCCGTCGGGCGCGTCTGCAGCCACAAGCAGCTCCGAGGTGGCCGCAAATGACGTGTTGGTCAGCGGGCGTGCCGGAGTGCAGCTGAGCGCAGAAGAAGCGGCCATGGCCAAGGCGAGTGAGGTGTGGCGCGAGCGCGCTGTCTGTCGATGTGCCCAACCGCTGGCTCAGAAGGGTGGCCCGGCCGCGCCTAACACGTCCACCGAACCGGCAACGAACTAAATAAGGCAATGGATGTGTAGCAAGTGTAATGATCTAGCTGGTCTCATGCTATTGGTAAGGCAAAGAGAAGAAGCGTGCAAGAACGAGGCGATGGACGGGCGAGGGGAGAGCTAAAGCTCTGAACACGGTCAAAACTGAAAGGTGTTTTCAAACTATATAGTTATATAAAACCAAAAATGCAAATACTTGATAATATTATATTTAATGTAAAAATTTTGAATTATGTGCGTAATTGCAATTTGGTATATATAAAAGTATTAGATTCGGCAAAATATGATTGATTTGTATACATTTTTACGCATTTAGCTTCTCCACCCTCCACGGACAATCACCGTGACTACCACCGTGGGGCGCCAGAGAATTCCAGCTCAAGCTGGCTCTGGCTGTAGCCACGGTCCGGGCCGCCTGTCGAGTCCATGCCTCGGAGTTCGAGTCAAGCCGTGATAGCAGTCACAGCCGGTCATGGCGCTTGAGCGGCCACTGGCACGGGCCGACCCGGTCGGGGCTGAATCCGATCCTCAAGCGGAGATCGTCGTCGATATATCTCTATCTGTTTACCGTACGGGCACACCTGCCCCAGAGCATCTGAAACACAATCTCGAAGGGAGCATTGTCAGGCGTTCGTGGTTGGCGTAGGGTACGCATGCACGATACTCGCACTTAACGGTTGCGGAAATTGAGCGGGTGCGAGTCCCAGTCAAAGCCGGGCACATCACAAGGAGCATCCCCGAGGACAGCACGGAACGCGTCGTCTTCCTTGACGGGTCCATTGAGATGGATAGCCAAACACCGCTCTGTCCATTCAGGATGGCTGTAGCGGGTGCCCCCCAGCAGTTGAGCCACGGAAGTGGGTCCGACTGTGGAACAAGGTTGATGTATGAGGAGCGGCGGGAGTTGTACGGCCCAGCCAAGCGCTCAAGCTCGGCAAAGAAGCATTCACCAAGGGCGATGTTGCGGCGCTTGTACTCTTCAAAGTCGGTATTGTCCAGGACAGGCGCCGGCATGTCAAGGATAGCAAGCTTGTTGCACTTTTGCGCGTAGCCCTTCTCGCCGCGGAGCTTGGCCTCGGCGCCCAGCATCTCCAGGATAGTGATCATGTACATGCCGTTGTCCGACTGGACGATGTGCTCTTTGCTCCCGGTAAAATGGATGGCTCGGAAAGCCTCTATCCACGAGCCGGGTGCTTGTGCCTCCATGAGCAGCGCGTTTTGGTTAAAGCCCCAGATGTCGAATTCCTGGTCCATGATCGTCAGCGGATAGCCGTCGTAATAGTCGGTCAGTTGCACATCAAAGTGGCGCGGAACCATAAGAGTGTCGGCGCCGGTCATCCAGATCAAGTCGTACTCGCCAGAAACCATGTGCTTGGTGATGGCCTTGTGCCACGCGTACATGCGCGACTCGCGGTACCATCCTCCATCTGTCTCGGTCTTCTTGTCAAAGTCATCCCATGCGTTGTCCATCTCGTCCGTCACAATCAGCTCGTAGCCATGTTTGGCTGCGTAGCACGCCTTCCAGTAGTAGCTGGACTCAAACCTCTCGTACGTGTCCTCGGTCGCCCACGTGAACATCAGGACCCGTGGCTTCCCGGACCCCTTGCCCATCTGCTTTGACGCGCTCGTCCTGTGCTTCTCCTTCAGCCTCGAACCATCCACAGCACGGACATCAGCTTTGGAAAGGCCAATAAACTTCGCCCAACTCTTGGGCTCGTTGGCAGGCTTGGGCAGCTTGCGCACAGGATTCTTGGACTCGCCCTGAATGAGTTGCCCTTGCCACGTCGAGCTCGAGTCGGCCGAGTAGCCCCTCCGTGAAACAGCCCAGATCAGCACGAAGCACCAAAACAGAGAAATGACGCCGAGAACCATGATAGCCCGTGACCGCATGACAAGAATCTACTGTGGGTCCCTCTCCCGTTGATGTCGTTCATGGAAAGGCGCCACGTCGCTGTGAGGTGAGCGATATTTTCTCTCCCATCTTGCCACACACCACAGCCATACAGACTACTTCCTTCCACCCTGCCTGTCTCAGCTGACTCGGCTTGCACTCTCACGGTCGCAAGGACCACAACTGCCTCTGCCGGGCTGCAAGCTCATCCCACAAGCCACATCATCTCTCGCATGGCCACGGCATAAACACGTACCTGCCCGACGACTAAAGTCGAGGAAGACGGATGGCTTGCCAACTCGACGTGGTGGAAAATGACCATCATCCACCCGAGTTCAATCGTTCCATCAACACAATAGTACTCTGCAAGCCAGGCATCTGGCCTACCTCGGCCCCCCTCGCACGCTGCCCCACAAATCAACGGTCAGCACTCACACGGTGCACTCCCCACCATACACAACACAACGATCAAACGCCTCAGAATACGCCATCCTCGAACGGAGCCCTTGGTCCCATCGCCCCGAAACTCCCGCCCACCGCTCTCTCAGGCCTGCCCCCCTCGCCCACCCACCGCTCACCAACCACCTCCCCCCACGTCACCCCACCCCTCCCTCCCCTCCCCTCTCACGCATACATGGACCGGTACGAGGTGGTCCGCGAGGTGGGCTCGGGCCAGTGGGTCGCGCGCTTGCGGCCAGGCGCCTCGCTCTCTGGCGCCACAGGCGTGGTAGATGCTACCGCACCGTCGGCTCCCTCGGCCGCTTCCGGTCTGTACATCGTCCGCGCCACGCCGCTCCCGCGCAGCATGGACGAGGCGCAGCGTGAGCGACTCGACGCCCTGCTGTTTGCCCAGTTCAAGGGCTTCATTCATGCGGCCGAGATGTTTGTGGCTTCGCCGCCACCGCCGGACAAAACGGTGGCGCCAGCCGACCCGCCGGCCCCTGCACTGTACGCTGTGGCGCCGACAGGCAGCACCACGCTGCGCGACCTGGTCCGCACCCAGGGCGGGCCGCTCGCGCCCGAGCTTGTCCGCCACATCGCCCGTGGCCTTGTCGACATCCTCGTGTGCATGCACGAAATGGGCCACGCTGTCGGCAATCTCGCCGCCGACACCGTTTACCTCGACCTTGCTGCTCTCCGCTCGTCGTCTGGCCAGCGCTCGCCGGTGCGGATTGCTCCGTTCTCACCGCTCGATGTTGGCGTGCCGTCGGCGCTTGCACGCACCCCGGAGCGCCTCCTCGGCGTGACTACTCCTCACCCGGGGCACGACCTCAACCTTGCTGCCGATGCGTGGGCCCTTGGTGTCGTGCTTGCCGAGATGCTCCTGGGCGGCCCGCTGTTCGACTCTGAGACCGTCGCTTCTGTGCCGCAGCATCTGTATCAAGTGTTCAAGGTCATTGGTGCACCGGGCACGCCCAGCGATCTGCCGTATCTGGCACCGGAGCACTTTGATGCTCTCGTGTCCGCCCTTCCCAAGACCACCGTCGGCTGGCCTGCCTTGCTCCCCGACGCTCCGTCTGACGTCCTCACCCTCCTCGATGCTCTCTTTGCTCTTGATCCGCGCCGTCGTATCACCATGGTCGACGCCGTTGCCCACCGGTACTTTCACCTTCCGCTCTCGCCCGGCATTGAGCCCGTTCCGCTCCTCGACCGCTCGCCGCCGCCGCCCGCGCCAACTGCGAGCGATCATTCCGCGCTTCTGGACGAGACGCTCTCGCTTCTCCCGCTCCTCCGCGAGCTCTCACCAAATCCGCCGACGCGTCTCCACCCTCCTGCTGACGACGCCTCCTCCCTCGCCTCCTCCCTCGACAAGCTTGATGCCGAGCTCGAAGCGCTTCAGAACCGCAGCTCCTCGCACTCGTCCAACTCTCGTAGTTCACAGCAGGACTTGCCGTCGCTCAAGCCACCGTCACCGTTCAAGCCAACCCGCCAGCCGCGGCAGTCGCCTTCAATCATCTCCTCGCCCTCGCCTTCGCCCTTGCCGTCGCCCGACGTCTCGTTTGAGAACAAGTACTTGACGTCGCAGGTGGATGATGCTGCATCGCAGTCTTGGGCTGACGATTACGAGTATGAGTACCAGTACGTTGATGACAACGATGACAACGACGACAACAACAGCCACCATAGCCCCATCCAAGGCGGCAAGGCTGACGGCGACGAAGCGGTGGTGAACAACCCCAGCTTTGCTCTCGTTCCGTCTATTCCCTTTCCGGGCTGTCCGGACTTTGCCACTGCTGGCAAGCCCGCCGACATGCCTCGCGACTCGCGGCATGCGCGGCCACCGCAAGCTGCGGTGGCGATTCCAGTCCAGGCATCGCTGGAGTCCCAGCTGAGCCAGCTCATGGCCCAAGTCAAGCACCAGCAGCTCCACCTCGATGAGCTCGTCTCAACTCCGAGCCGCACTTCGCCCTGCTCGGCGTCAGAGCATCAAGCTCTGGCGTCACCGCCAGTTGCAACCGCGGTGCAAGAGCCTGCCTCCAGCCAGCCATGGCACTCGACGCGCGACATCGCACCGCCGCCTGACAGCCTCGGCACGCGGGCGCGGTCCGAAGCCAACGGTCTCCTCGTCGACATCTCCCGTGGTCTTCACTTTGAATCTGCACTCATCAACAGCTGCCGCGCCAGCGGCTCGTCGTGGTTCATTGCCTACCGGCTCTGCGGCGAGGACCAGCCTGTCGTCTCGGCCATGACGTCGCCGTGCGCCGGCCCGCACTTTGACCATCGCGTCACCTTTGCGCTCTCGCACGACCAGCTCCGTCAAGTAGTTGTCGGTGCTAGCAACAGCGCGAGCGCTCCTCTCACCGTCATGCTCTGTGCCACCGCGCCGTCGACGCCGCAAGCCCGCACAGTCCTCGCCGTCACAGATCTCGACCTCTCACCGCTCGCTTACGGCCTTGCCTCTCTCGACGGCTGGTATCACGCCCTCGATGAATCTGGTGCATCAATTGGACAACTTCGGATATTGGTCAAGCCCAAGACAGCGCTTCCCACCCCACCACCGCCTTGCTCTCCTTCCTTATCTCCGCGCCCTCCATCGCCTCGGCCGTCCAATTCGCCACCGGCCGCCGCCGAGCCGTGGCATCCGCCATCTCCATCGCCGCAAGCCTCTCCGGCCCTCAACCGCTCGCTCTTCTCGCAGTATCTCGATCAGTATTCAGTCTCGACTCCGCCGCCGTCCGCCATCCTCGCCGACCCGTCGTCGCTCGCTTACCGCCTCGGCGGAATCTCATCCTACCGCGTCGACCCGCTCATCCACGCCTCACCCTCGGCCCGCCATGGCCTCGCCACATCAGACTATGTATCGTCGCCGAGCGGCCCGGCCACCGCTGGATTGTCCTCGGCGCCCCAGTCCGGTGATGGTCATCACTCGGAAATCCGTGCCCTCCAGCGCCTCCAGGCCTCGCTCCGCCAGCTCCAGCTGTAAACGCCCCGCCGCTCGTACACACTCCCACTGCTCTCGGCGCTGTATGGACACGGACGCCGCACCAGTCTCCGGCACGCCACAGTCCTCTCCTTCGTCGCCGCTTGCGCTCCAACTCGGGTTTGTTCTCGCTGCGGCACTCTGGGCCTTTGCCGACACCTCGTCCATGTCGTCGTTCGTCTCGTCGACGCTGACAACCCTGGCGACGCTGACGGCCGTCGCCCTCGGCTCGCTGTACCTGTTCCAGGACTCGCTCTTGTACTTTCCGCAGGTTCCCGACGGTGCCCGCGAGCAGGTCATGGCACCCGCTGCCCTGGGCATGCCCGGCGAGGACGTCGTCCTGCCCACTCCCGACGGCGCCTCGCTCGCCGCCATCTTCTGCCCGCAGGCCGACGATGCCGCCGCCGCCGCCGCCCACACCATCCTGTTTTTCCACGGCAACGCCGGCAACGCTGGCCACCGCCTACCAAACGCCTACCACCTGCACAACCTCGGCTTTAACGTCCTCCTCGCCGAGTACCGCGGATACGGCCGCTCCACAGGCCGTCCGTCGCAGGCCGCCCTCGAAGCCGACGCCGGCCTCCCGCTCGACTGGCTCCTCGCCCAGGGCCACCGCATCGATACCTCTCGCATCATTGTCTTTGGCCGCTCGCTTGGCGGCGCTGTCGCCATCGCTCTCGCTGCGCAGCGCCAGGACGACATCGCCGCGCTCGTTCTGGAGAACACCTTTGTCTCCGTCGTCGACATGATCGACGTCGTCATGCCTATCTTCTCACCCTTTAAGCCGCTCTGCTCTAATCCCTGGCGCTCGGCCGATCACATGCCCTCGCTCACTCTCCCTATCCTCTTCCTCTCGGGCCTCCGTGACGAGCTGGTCCCGGCCGACCACATGGCCCGCCTCTACGACCTCGCTCCTCTCCCGGCACGCAAGCGCATCGTCACCTTTGCCAACGGCACCCACAACGAAACTTGGCTCGAACCCGGCTACTTTGACGCCCTTGCCGCCTTTATCCGCTCAGATCTTCCAACCATCCGTGCCGCCATGGCCGACTCCCCCGAGCAATCACAATGAGCCGTGCCAACACCCTCCCCCCCCCCCCCACCCACCCCTTGCGATCACACCCAACCCACCT